CCATACAACCAACCGAAAATTTCATCTCCTCTCCTTCTCCCATCCCTCCCTCCCTCCATCCCACTTCCCTTGTCTGGCTATTTTCCGGTCCATCAAACTCCTCTTACCCTCCTCCCTCCCTCCCTCCCCTCCCCTCCTCATCCCCTCCTTCCCCACTTTCCCGTCCCTGACCATCTCGTTCTTTCGCAGGTTCTGCTGCACCGTACCCCTCCTCCTCATCGTCCATGGAGGCTTCGCCAGCAGAGACGAAGGAAGGAGAACCGCAGAGGAAGAGAGTCAGGAAGTCCAAACTTGAGAGCACAGCTCCTCCAGAGGGCGACCCGTCACTATCTCCTTCTCCTCCTCCTCCTCCTCCTAGACCCATGGCGAAGCCTAAGAACTCAGCCATGAGCGTCTTCTACTGTGAGGTCTGCCAGTTTTACCATTCCTGGACGGAGAAATGCAACGGGAGTCAGAACAAGCACAACGAGCGCGACGGCGACGGCAGCAGCAGCAGCAGCAGCAATGACAGCAGGACGAACAACCTGGTCAGACCTTCCTCCAGCTCGCAGCAGAAGGAGCAGGAGGGCGGCAACGTAACTGAGCAGCTTCAGAGCTACCGAGGATGCTTCCAGAAGTACGTTGACAGCGCGGTCAGACACTACAGGACTGCTGGGTCGAAGATGATGCGAGTTAGCCTTGACAAGGTGGCGCGAGGGCAGCTGGGGCAGGAGGCGGAGAGCCGAAGTGTGAGACGAAAGGAGGAGAGCGAGCGAAGAAAAGGATGATGAAAGGGGGAAAAACGGAAAGGGGGGGGGGGGGGAGGAAGGCGAAGTGCGTCGTCGGTCGTCTTAGTCGTTGTCTTCTTTCTTCTTCTCTTCTTCCTCCTCCTCCTCTTCAATCACCACCACCTCCTCTACCTCCTCCTCCTCCACCACCACAACGACTAGTTTCTGTTACTTCAAGCTCCTCTTTTCAACCATCTCACCAGATTTCTCCATTTTTTGGAAGACGCCATGCCTGAACCACAGATGTGAATATATTCCCTCCCTGAAACCCCGCCTCCTCTCTCTTCTCTTCCCTCCCATCCCCTGCCCTTCCCTCCCATCCTGTCCCATCCCTACTGCTCCCATTCCATCCTTGCCCTCTCCTCTCCTCCCCAACTGATCCCAAGTTCGCTCCTCTCCTCACCAGCTGCTGTCGTCGGGCCGCCCACGTTGGCGTTGCTCTGAAGGGCAGGAGAGTGACGGTCAAGCATCAGAGATCAACAGGGGGCTCACGGCCAGCAGCAGCTCATTCCACCACACTGACTCCGAGAACTTGGGTTCTCGCTAACAGCAACGATATGAGCCGAAGCGGAAGCAGGGCCAGGGCCAGGAGCAGGAGCAGGAGCAGAAAGAGATACGAGTAGGATGAAGAGAAAGATACAAGTAGGAGCAAGAGGGTTCACGAGAAGAAAGTTGAGAGGAGCAGGAGTTGAGGAGGAGGAGGAGGAGGAGGAGAGGGGAACGAGGAGAAGATTCACCCGGAGGTAGAACATTCGTCCAACAACGAGGAGAATCACGAGGTGGAGCGCGATCTTGGTGAATGTTAAACTGGGGGCAGAGAAGGTTTGAATGCACCTGAATCGCACTGAAGACGAACAAGGAAGGAGCTGATTCAAGCACGAGGCGGATGCTGCTCCCCGTCGTCAAGATTGACGTCAGCGAGAAGAAGAAGGACGAGGAGGAGGACGAGCTTGAGAGGAGCCCGTGCAATCGCTTGAGAGCAGCCGCAGAGGGAGAGGAGGAGGAGGAGGAGGAGGAGGAGGAGGAGGAGAACAACTTCACCTCCCTGACGCTCCCGTAGCAGCGAAGAACAGCTGCATGCACAGGATACCCACTGCTTCGCCTGCTCCCTAGAAACCAGCTCATGCTCGAGCATTCGCAGCTCGCGGCCGCCTCCTCACCTTCATCCTGGACATCTGCTGTGGAAGCAGAGTGGCGAGGAGGATTACGAGGAAAGTCGCGATAGGGATCAGCCACCCTCCTACCATGCGTTAGCAGCAGTAAACCTTCTCCTCAACCTTCTGCTTTTCACCTCCGCCCCCTGGTCCTTTTCTCCAACTTTCCACCTCCTTCTCGTCCCCCCCCCCCCCTTTCCTCCTCCTCCTCCCCATCCTCATCCTCATCATCATAACCATCATCATAATCATCATCATAATCATCATCATCATAATCATCCTCATCATCCTCACCTAAAGAAAACATCTGAACAATTCGAGCTGCAATCAAGCAGATTCCCGCTGAGATCGCCATGGCTTCCCTCGAAGCTTCAGCACCTTGGTCCTTGAACGCAGTAACTCCTCACCGGACGAGACGTCGACGATTGTAAAACTTGCGCTCCCTTCTTCCTCGACATTATTTTCGACAACATTCTTGTCATTTGTGGATCCTGCTGAGTTGGCCATGGCGAAGATTGCGATGAAGTACACGGCCACAACAAGGTTGTCCGCTGCTATTCCTGCCTGCATCGAAATCATCGTCATCAACATAATCAACATCGTCGTATCGATCATCATTCCCATCATATAACCATCATCAGAGCAGCACCACCAGCACCACCAGCACCACCAGCACCACCAGCACCACCACTTCTTGCACATTTGCAAGCAAGACATTCGTCGATTCACCGTGACAACAGCGGCAGGGGCCTGTGAACACACATGTCAGGTCGGCATGACTTGTTGCTCAAGTGCAGCAGGACCTCGAGAACATCTGCCACAGCAACATAGTTGATTGCTCCTCCGATGTGCCTGAGGGGGGAAACAATTACTCTCGCTCCTCCAACATCCTATCCTCCACCCCGTCCTGTACCCTCTCCTCAGCCCTCTCCCATCTTACTCCCCGCCCTTTAACGTCCTTGTGACCTGCTGCAGAGGGCCGCTGCGATTTTCCATGCTCCCTCAACGCCGTTCATTGGGAACACAGCGGCAGCCAGTACCTGAAGACAGGAGCATGAGAGTCGAGAGTAACGCGGTAGAGTGCAAAACCGTCGACGCGAGCGTGGCAAAGGCTCCGATGAAGAACGCAAGGAGCAAGCTTCCTGTGTCTGTGAAGATCCGCTTAGCCACCTCATCATGCAGGAGGGGGAACGGAGGAGGAGGAGGAGGAGGAGGAGGAGAAGGAGAAGGAGGAGGAGGAGGAGACTCAAACCTTTCATCACTTTCCTCAGATCGGCAGAGAACAGGAGGAGAGGGACAGCCAGGGGAACAAGGAACTTGTTGACTGTGTTGTAAGCCGGTGCGCTAGTGGGAAGGACTCCACAGTTGACGAGGATGAGAGATATGAACATGGTCACCAGCGGCGAGGAGAGGGCCGCTCCCACCCTCGTCTTCTCTGCCCGCAGCCCCACGCACGCGCACGCCAGCATTGCCGTCCACATGGCCCAGTCATCATGGGGGGACACAAGGGAAGCGTGTCCAAGAGAGGAAGCAAACGAGGCCTTGAGAGGAACCAGCAAGACCGCGATCAGCACCGGCAGCAGCACCGCAACACGCCTACCCCGACCTCCCCTCAATGGTCGCATCGTGGAGGAGCGATCGAGAGGAAGGATGGGCCTCTTGGAGGAGATGAGGGGAAGGAGCCTGGTAGCAGGAGAAGGAGGGATAGAACTCAGCATCGTGTGCCGCGGTAAGGCGGTTGAGGACATGACTGGAGCGAAGCTCAGGCCGTCAGGGCTTGCCATGGCGCACTACGACGGCCGGATCGCTGCGGCCCCCGGTCCGGCAGCGGGCCCTTCCGAAGTTCGGAGCAGGTACCGTACCGATAAAGTGAACAGTACTTTGTTTACTCAAAGTTAAGTTTAAAATCAGTACGAGGACAATCAAAACTTGGCAGAGCAATGCGCCGCGGTACTAGGCCTACTGAGTTCTTCCTTTAGTGACATAACTTTGACTCGGTAAAGGAAGAACCGTATTGAACGTAAAGGGGAAGAAGACTCTCAACAGTACGGAGATCCCCGGACTGACTGAGTCGCCGCCCGGCGGCGCCGGTTGAAGGGCCTCGGAAGCCTGCCTCACGGCCCGCCCTGCCACCGTGACTTGCTGCGGTTGAAATTTCGGTTTGGGCCGGCGGCGTCAAGCCCGGGCCGGGCTGCCGGCCCATGCCCGCCCGGCGGCCCCGGGGCCGCCGGGCCCGGCAGTCCGGCCGGACTGAACTATAGACGGTTCACCATCTTCCGGGTTCACCATTTGTTACGAGTGGCCATGCTCAGAGCAGCAGGAGCAGCGCTGTTGGTCATGGCGGTTGGGTCGCAGCTGGGGAGCGTGAGTGAAGCCTTTGTGCTGAGTGCTGGCACTGTGTCGCACAGATCAGCTTCCCTGAAGGCCTCATCAGGTGCTTGCTACATGCCTTGCTTGCGCGCTTCGTGACTCCACCCTTTCCTCCAGCAATCCGGCTCAGGGAAGGGTTCTGTCATGGAGCCACCTCAACGAGGGGCAGGGCCACGAGAGCGACATTTGCTCAAAGTGTGCAGGGCACGCTTGTCCAATCCTCGGAGAGAGCAAAGACTCTGCCCTGGAAGGAATCGGTAGCTCTCATTAAAACCCACTCACGTCCTGAGCAGTTCCAGGTTGCTGGTGCGGAACATAGATTGCTGTACATGCCATTTCTTGAATGGCAGCTGGATTTTATGAAGAAACACTTTCCTGATTTGAAAGATCTCCCCTTCGAAGAGCACCTTTCAAACAGACTTCGACGGTCTGCAGATTGCCTGACTCCAGTTTGTGGCTGATGGTTTTCACCTCAGAAAAAGCCTGCAGTGATCGAATCATGGCAATACGAAACCAAGGAGTTCCGCAAGATTCGCCTCACCTACATCGATGCTGGACAGAACGCTCAGGTCTTCAACAGTGTGTGGTACCCCAGGCACAGCTACGATGCCCCAGTGTTTGGCATTGACTTCCTGGCCTTCGGCAAGAAGAAGGTAGGGATGCCTCCAATTCTCTCTCGGTATCTCCTGAAGCCTTCGAACAGGTTCTGGCTATCTTGGACCTGCAGCCCTTGACGCAGGATCCAGCATACCTGGAGAACTACATCGATCCTCTGATTCCACTGCGAAACAAGTACGAGGTAGTCAGAAGCTGCCGCTCTCGCCTTGGGCTCAACTCCTGCTGCCCCTCCAGGATCTCTGCGGCAGAATGTCAAGCAAGTTCTACGATGAGACTCGCTTCTTCTCCAAGCAGCTGCTGTTCGGAAGATTCGACAACGACGAGCCTGTGCGTACCAGCTCGCCCTGCTGCGCCCCCTTGTGATCCACAGCAGGTGATGAGCTCGCTCTTCCCGGCCTTCCAAGAGTACATGGAGGTGTTTCCTGTCGATGTGTGCGATGCCAGGGACGACTGACAGACCTCTCAGTACTACGTGAAGATGATCAGGGGGTTGACGCCCGATGACTCGAAGGACTTTACCTCCCACGTTGCCGAGCTGCAGGTGATACCGTGTCGGCCTGATGCACAGCTGCCTTGACTCGTGTCCTCAGAGGCAATACGACCAATACAGCGCAGAGAAAGACCCTGCTGTAAGAGTATGCTTCCGCGGAAATTCATTATGACACCTTGCCAGGTTGGCCTCTTCAGCACTTACTGGGGTGAGGAGTGGGCTGAAGACTTCACATACAACTTTCTCTTCAGCGAAGCGGTGCTGATACCTTTATCCTTCAGTTGAATGATCGACAAGTTGACCTGTCCTCTGTAGGTTCCCCAGCCCAAACCTGCCGAGCCAAAGGCGGAGTGAAGGGCCTTACTCGAATGGACAACCAGCATCAGGAAGCAATGATTCAGCAAGGAAGATTTCAAAGGAAGACCGCTTCATCGTTCCCTCCTCATAACACAAGAATACTAGGGTCTTTTGACTCTGGGATATTCATCATTGGAACATTTATTACACTTTACTGCTACATGTCCGATTGTTTACCACGGGCGGTTGTCAAGGTCGGAGTTCCACGAGGGCCAGGTGCCGTTGAAGGCGAGGGGGAGCTGCTCATGGTGCTGATACTCCTGACGCCACATCCAGAGAGATTGGAACATTTTCCTGTGACACAACACGCAAGTCAGGAAAACAAGTCGTATCAGTGCATGACAAAGGAAGGTAGAAACTTGCCAACAGCAAACGAACTCACCAAATCTCAACAGCACTAGAGCACAACCTCTCAACAACATCGGCACAACACGAACATCACATATCACACATCAAATATCACCACATGTTCCCCCGCTCGTACCTTTCCTGATTGCCTTCTCCTCCTCCCTCCCTCTATTTCAACCTCTAGATCTATTTCCGGTTTCCTTTTTTTTGTACCAGAGTATGACTACGGGTCCGATTGAAGGATCACGACCGGGTACTGGCTGGTAGGGATTCCTGCTGGTGAATTGTGATGGGTCCATCTCTCTGAGGGTGGGGTAAGTGAAAGGTAGTTTCACAAATTCCATCGACATACGGGGTCATTCATGGGTAAATTTGGGGTACATAAAGCAGTCAATGTTGAAATCGGGGGTACAGAGGTAAAAGGGTGGGGTGGGATCCTTGCCCCTGGCCGCTGGTAGCAACGGGGGTGGTACAGGGATCCCTGACTTGACGGGGGCAGTGAATGTCAATTAGGGTCGGACATTCTTGATTCAAGGCAGAGATACTACCTACCCCCATCTTCGAATTCATCCAGCCAGACCCCTTACTTTCAGTCATAGTACCCCACCCGTTTCTGATGATCAGACTGACCCTTTCGAAATGACCACCCATGTTCCCGGGGCGTGGTTGATTCTGTACCACAAATTTTACATAATCTAGTTAAGTAAAAGGATCTGTGGTGACTTGAGTTAATATTTCATGCGGCTGCTCGAAGGCGATGAGCCATACAGGAAGGGGAAGGGGGGGGGGGGGGGGGGGGGGGGGAAAGGGTTTGGGGAGGAAAGAGAATAAGAGATAGAGGACAGACAGCGGGCGAAGCAGGAGTGGAGGGATGTGTGGAGAAGGATGCATAGCGTGCGAGAATCTCCTGATGACTTGTAGGATTGTTTTAGCACAAACTGATGAATTTTTGCAGGCTCATGATCAAACTACCCGGATGTTTTGCAATCGTTGCCATCTTGCCCCTCCTCTTCTCTTGCTCTGCACTGCCTATCAAAGACCATGTTCTTGATCATCTCAGACCGTCAACGGAGGGAGGGAACGTATGGGTTTTGTTAGTTGCTGGATCGAGTGGCTACATGAACTACAGGCATCAGGCAGACGTCTGCCATTCCTATCATAGCATACGAGCTCGAGGAGTTCCCGAGGAGCGAATCATTGTCATGCTCTTCGACGATGTGGTTCAGTCCTTCTTCAACACAAGACGCGGCTTCCTCTACAACGAGCCCGACGGAGACGACGTGTACGCGGGCGTTCGCAAGGACTATACGGGACATCAGATCACGCCCAAGAACTTCCTCGCTGTCCTACGGGGAGATGCCGTTGCCATGAAGGGCATCGGAACTGGGAGGGTCGTTGCGAGTGGTCCCAGCGATAGGATTTTTGTTTACTTTGCAGATCATGGAGCGCCTGGGATGCTAGCGTTCCCTTCTCACCATCTTGTCGTCCCCACCAAACTGTATGCCAAGGATCTGATATCTACTTTGGAGAAGATGCACAAGCAGCAGAAGTACGCAGAGATGTTGCTGTACGTGGAAGCTTGCGAGTCTGGGTCGATGTTCGACGGTCTGTTGCGTGAGGATCTCAACATCCTTGCGGTCACTGCTGCTTCTCCGTTCGAGTCAAGCTTCGCGTGCTACTACAACAACACACTGGGCACGTTCCTCGGAGACTGCTTCAGCAACCACTGGCTGGAGCACGAGGACGAGACCTCGGTCTCCACGGAAACCATAGATGACGAGGTTGAACGAGTCAAGACAGTGACGAACACTAGCCACGTGTGTGTCTATGGAGACATGAGGTACACTACTTCTCTCTTTTGCCCTGCCCCTCTCCTCACGATGTTTCAGCATCGCTCAACAATTTCTCGGAGATTTCTTGGGCCCCAAGTCGAACTCCTCAGTCTCCCGTCAGCCTGCAGGAGGCAGGAGGCAGGCGAAGGCGACGTCGAGCAGAGATGTGCATGAGACGGTCCTGAGGTGCCTCCTCCTCCCGCGACCCTCTCGTACTGACTCCGACATCGCCCAGGAATAGACTAGCTGAGCTGGAGGCCAGCCATCTCGGAGATCAAGAAGCAAGTGACCTGCACAGGGTATCCCCCCAGCTCGTTTCGGGCACCTCTGAATGTACTGCAGATGTTGGAGACGGAGCTGCGTGCTGTACTCGAGAGCCATACTCGCGCCGATCTTCTGTTCCTCGAGCTTGCTCGGTTAGTACCCTGGTCCTCTTCCTCCATTGTGCGGCGGTTGACTGTTACCTTCCTCACCGTTCAGAGCTCTAGCTGATGAGCAAGTGCCGCTCCAGCGTCTCCTCGTCGGCCAGGTCAGCATGATGATGATGGCTTGCCCGCTGCTGCTGACCAAGGTCTAACATAGAACCCTCCTCAAGACTGCCATGGGCAGACTGTCCCTGACTTCTCGTAACCCACCTTCTCCCCCTCCTTCCTCATGACTTGTCTCGACTGCCTACAGGTGCCTGGAGTCGGCAGTTGACACTTTCGAGCATCTCTGCGAGCCTCTCACCGACTACTCCTTGAAGTCAGCATCGCCTCCTCCTGCCTTCCTGCTGCTGATTGTTCTCGCTAGGTACGTTGCGGTGCTCAATCGAGCCTGCAGCGCTGGAAGGAGCACGACCGACATCACCTCTGCTATTGCTCAAGTTTGCAAAGTGATTGTCTCCTCTGCCTCCGTTACCTACTGTCCTCACCGCTTGCATACGATAGCATGCTGCAAAGCCAAGCCCTTGCCACAAACAAACTTCCCAGTCAGCCTGCGACGCCATGGCCGACTGTACTTGGTGCAAGTAAGTGAGTACAACTCCTCCTCCTCATCTCACAGTCTGCGCAGGAGTTCAGCAGTACCCAGCAGGTGTCTGTCGATAGAGGAGGCCAAGAAATTGCCACCTGCAGTTTTTGTCTGCGATCGCAGCGAGTGAGGGGACGACTTACATTTGAGTAAGGGAACGAAAGGGAGGAAGGGAGTGGGTCATTATGAAGGATAGAGGCGAGGAAAGAAGTAAGCAATCTCCATTAGTCTTTCACTTTATTAGTTTGAATAGAATCACGTAGTTTACAGATCTTCTGCTTTCCTCTCCTTGCCCTTCCCTCTTCTCATTCCTCTGAGGAGTCAGAACAGTTGGACTTGACAAAGGTAGAGGCCTCGGAAGGAGTGTCTGTCCTTATCGAGTCGGATCTCTCATGCAGCACCAGGACCTGCAACCTGGAAGGGCTGCATATTTCTTCCGCCACATTCACACCCGCCTCCTCCTTCGCTTTGTTGGAGTCCATTTCCGCGTCATACTGCAGGTTGCTCCCCATGGAGCAGCTAAAACTCATCAACCTCAGCGGATGCTTCTCCTGCTCGACCTCCTGCCTGCTCGTCATCGGCTTTGTCGGTGAAGCTGTGAGCTTCCCCCCGGATGAAGAGTACAAGTGAAGTAAAGCATTGCGCGGGGTGAAGACTGTTATGTCGAGACTCCTTCCATCTTGCTTTCCTGCCATCGCTGCTGCATTGGGAGAATTCTCAAAATGTACAATATCCGATGGACTGGGTGGAGCGCTGTCACAAAACCTTCCGGGGATCTTGATGGAGGGCGGCAGAGCTTTCCTCAGAGTCTGCGGCCGTTTCGACTTCATGTCATCATCCGCAACGTTGCTCCACTCCAGCTTTGTCAACGATTTGGGTAGGATTGGAGGAAGCTGACCAAAATCTTCTGATAGGATTTCCTGGCATTTCTCTGAGGTTGGATCGAGCTCCACTTCTGTTATGACGACAGGCTTCTTCCTGCTCTTCGTCTCCATCTGCTTGCGGTAAGTCATCGCTCGTTTGCGAGCCTTGGCCACGTCCTTTCGTTCATGCCCTTCACCTTTCCTTGTCCTGCAGGCTCTGCAAAGGCACACGATGAGGCAGACAATGAACACGGAGACTCCGATGTACATCCCCACTGTGATGGCGACCGAATCGCTGGTTGGAGGGAACTTCCACTGAATAGATGATCTTAGCTGGTAGCTTCTCCTCTCCGCCACGTTCTGCCCATGAAGTGCTTGATGCTTTTTGTGCAATCGCAAATGCGTCTCAACCTTCTCATCCAAAGCAAACTCAGCAGGTATTCCCTCTGGACGAACTGTAGAAGGGGAGGTGCCTTTCTGCTCCTGTGAACAAGACGCAGATTGCACAAACCAGCGACCCCCTCGTAGCTCTCGACTTTCAACGACGCAAAAGCCGGCACTGCATCGTGCTGCGTTCCCCGATCGGTGGCAGCCCCTGCAATCTGAGGAGAGATTGCAACGAGCACTTGCGTTGACCATTGAGACACTGAGGACAGCAGCAAACATATGAAGCAAGGTGAAAGAGGTCTGCATTGCGCCGATGTGCCTGTATTCGAAGACCTTCACCTTGCTCGATGGGTTTCGATGCTCATTGCAGACGCTACGTCTCTTGAACGCAGCGCACGTGTTGGGCTCGTAGAGAGGGGTCGAGGTGTCTCTTTCGGCAGCATTGAGTCGATAGTTGGGACTGTCATGTGAGTGTGAGCAACTCCGGTGCTCTGAGCTGTCCAGACAAGAAGCTCGGTGAGGACGACGATTCTCCGCGCTGCTATCAATCTCTGCTTGAGTGGCCAAAGGCTGGTGGAGAGATACGCCGAGGGGAGGAATCAACCGAGCTCTGTTGGTCGGAGAGTTTCGATGGAGGTGACTGGATCTGACCATGAAGAGAACGTCAGCTTCCTGTTGATCATTGCTGACCCTTGCGCCGACGCTTTCTACCATTTTGTCGATCAAACCGAAGTCCTTCACACAAGGGGGTGGGTAGGATTAGGGGTGGAAAACAGGTGGTGGGGTAGTTCCTGCAAGGGTAGTTTAGAGTTGTTGGCGATGCCACGGAGAGAGCAGGGTGGGGGTACTACATTCCGAACCATGTTACTACGGGTGCGTTCGGGGACTCGATCAACCAAAGGGGTAGTACTCGACAAAAAGCTCTTGTAAAGGAGCAAAAGGTGGGTAATCTATTGTAAAAATAAGGGTCATAACCTTGCAAGTAGGGTATGTGATTGGCGATAGAATTGTGAAGAGTTCTAAGGTGGGTATACTGGATTATACCACGGGTCCATTTGATCTCTAAAATGTTGCCAGTGGGTGGTGCACATCTCGACGATAGGTGGGTACTTCAGGGATTTGGGTGGGTCATCTGCAGAGGGGTAAAATAGATTGCACTAGTGTGGTCAGCAGGGGTGATACCATGTTCCCCATGAGACCGGGGTAGTGGGTCTGAATTGGACTTGTACCGGTTGTAGTTCGAATTTTCGAGGGTGGGGTAGATCACGTACCCCTGAGATCCCATATTATTGACCCGGTATGTTGACATGAAGCCAAGTGTCGCTGACCAATGAAGGAGGTAGGGTTACTCGAAAGTTACTCGAAAATTGGGGGTGGGTGCATGTCTATAAAAGTATTTTTTCCCCTTGCCCAAGTTGTTGGGCATGAGGCCCCCGAAGGCTGCTTCGGTTTGCTCAATGATGGTTTGAGGTGGGGGTGGTAGGGGTAGGAATCTAGGGGTAGGTCTGATATGATGGGGATATCTTTTTGACTGGTGCGGAGGACCCCTGGTATCTTGATGCTGGAGCTTGAAAGACTGTGGTGCTTGAAATTAATTGATAGGGAAAACATGGATATCGCAGGTAGGTGGGGGAAGGGATAGAGCAAACGCAAGCCACCTGGTAGGGGTACTACGCCTTGAGAGTCGAAATGCCCAACAGGGGTGGGGATACCAGGGGTACTGGTAGCATCCGCCTTCGCGGCCCTACCAACAAAAACAAACTGTACTCTACCACCCCTTGAAGTTTAGAACCCCCGTCTTCGTGGTACCCCTTGCGTCGCCTTCATATTTCCAGGAACAGAACAGTACCTCATTTCAACCACCCCACGGGTGACCTCCCTGGATCCCCTCACCCTTTTCTCGCGAGGGGCTGCCACCGGCCGTGTAAAATCAAAATGGGACCCCTGGTTCTTGTACCCCTACCCCTCCTTATCTCCACCGTATCCACCCTTGTCTGCAGGCGCCGCAAATCAAGTCCGGTCGGCAAAATTCGTGGCCACCTGCCTTTTCACCCTGGAAACCACCCCTGGTGGAAGGTGGTGCCCTAGTTTTTGCCCGGTTCTTTTTTGTCAGCCTCCTATGGTCATGGCAGTAGTAAGAAAATTGAAATGCGACTCGAGCCTCTCTTCAAGCTTAAAAGGTTATAGAGTAAAAATGCCCCATCGGCTCGTGCCGCAGGGGTGCCCGGGGGTCCAGGGGATCCGATCATCCGACCCTGTCGGGGGTACTCCTGAGCCATGTGATCACCCCCTTGTGGTCGGTAGCAGGGAGGGGTTATCAATTGGTGATAACCATCCCGACTGGGTGGGTCCCTGGGCCCTTGGTACCGGTTGACTCTGAGGAGCCGGTACTGATTCTGTGCGGTACGGTACCGGTAAAGTCATTCAGGCACTAGTAAAGTGCCATTGCCAACTAGTAAGGTGGGGGAATAACTAGGGGTGGTACATGTTCACAGACCCCCCTTTCTCGTTGCTTCAACACGAAAACTAGTGGGTGGGGTGGGGATCTTGATCAGCCTGTGGCACGAGGGTGGGCAAAACTTGACACTGTCAAAAGCGTACCTGAGCTGTCGGCATTGTAGCCCCACGAACTCGTCAAAAAACGTACTACGAGCAATTTCCTATTTTTGTTGAAGCCGTACCGCACGGGCCAACCCCACTGTACCGTCACGCAGACCGTCACGTCCGACCGGGCTGGAATGAACTTTGGGCCGGCGGGCGGCCCCGTCGCGGCAACATCAAGCCTGGCACGGTTTGGCCGCCGTCAGGCTCAAGTTTTAGCCGCATCATCAACAATGAAGCCTGAGCCTTCAACTCGCCAAGTCACTGTCAAGTTGAAACCCGGGCCGGCAACTTGAACTTCAAGCCCGGGCCTTCAACTTGGCAAGAAGTTGAAGGCCGGGCCCGGCGGGCCGCCAGTCACGACGCAGTGCGCAACCGGCCGGGTGACCGATTTCCGAGTTCCGAAGTTCGGGACTTGACTGGAGCCCGGGAGTGCGACTGGCATGGCTGATCGGATCGGACCCGGAGGCGTGCAGCCTTGCCGGACTCCCGAACTTGATTCAGGCTTGATGATCAGCTCAGGTTCTCCGAGTCAAAGTGCGGCCGTAAGTCACTAGGTACTGACTCGCTGAGTGTACAACCTCGGTACAGTATCTTCAACGCACATGTCCGTTACCGTAACGTTCACTAACTAACGTAGCAGGTTGGCCTTCACGTTGCTGCAACATCATCATATGGAGTGTCTTGAAACTTGATGGGCCTGCCACTGAGTCCGATCTTCCCGCCCACGTGCTGATCGTGACTTGGTGGCCCGTCACGTGATTGGACTGCGCCCGCGGCACGGTTGTACGGTTGAAGCCTCGGAAGCGCGATGGTCACATGGGTGCGATTGATACATCAGGCCATCACGACACGTTCTCAGCGCGGCTTCCCCTTCAGCCCCAGTCCCTCGCTGCTTGCAACGGCAGCGTCAGCCGCTGCTCTTGCCACCTCAGCGTTGTATCTGCAGGAGACGACACGGTAAGACGCTCTCAGTCAAGGGAGGAGAAGGAGGAGGGACATGTAAATCGCCGTCTCAGTCTCAATCCTCCTCAGCTCGAGCTCCATCGAGAGTTCTCTGCAACAGGCCCCAACAGTCAGCCCAGCAGCTGACGAGAGCCTTGAAGAGGAGGGGAGCAGATCAGGGGAGGGGCTGAGGCCTCGGAGACGAGAAGGAAGAAGGATCGTTTACCTTCTACGAAACTCTTGCTCCAGGTCGTGGACCTGCTCAGGAAAGTCAGACACTGAAGGCCTAGGAGGGTCGACGGGAGCTTCCTTCTGTGAGGCAGCAGCAGCGTCGTCCTCCTTGGACCTCTGAAGGCTGCTGATTTTCGCCTGGACCTCCCTGATGGATTCCTCTAGCATCTTGGCCTTCTCCTTTTCCTCCTGCAGGCGGGGGGGAAGGTCATGATCAAGGAACAGTGCCCCTCCTCCCTGCCTGCAGCTCTTCCTCGAGGGAGCGAAGGCCCTTCGATCCGTCCTTGCCCTTGTCTTCCCTCTATCCGCAGGTTCAATCACATATGATGGAGCAACAACCTATCCTCCCTCCCTCTCACCACATGCTCTCCCTCCTGGTCGTTGCCCACGTTCTTGTATGATGCAAGATGGTCCAGAAGCAGCGCATGCGTCTACCGGCAGCATAATCCTCAGCATGTCTCTACTCCCTTGGTCACGGGGAGGCACCCGTCTGAGGTCTCTCTCTTGCATCTCCAGCAGCCTGCATCTGAACAAGCACAAGTGAGGGAGAGCAGCCGGATGATCAGGATAAGCAAGGGCAAGGGTAAGGGCAAGGGCAAGGGCAAGGGCAAGGGCAAGGGCAAGGGCAAGGGCAAGGGCAAGGGCAAGGGCAAGGGCAGGACGAGAGGGGGGAGAGGAGGTCTGATATGATGGAAGAAGAGGAGGACAAGGAGAATGAGTTGGAGGACAATGAGATGGTGTCAAGCTCACTTGTCAAAGAGATCGATGAACTCTGCGTCTCCTCTTACAAGCTCCAGGGTGATGACATGGCAGAGATAGGAAGGAGCGCTCAAGACCACCTGCGATCGCTGACTGAGGAGAAGGAGGCGGGTTGGTAGGGGAAGGACATGATGCAACATGAGGAGCAGTGAAGTAGGAAGAAAGAAAGAAAAAATGATGACTGTAGCAAAGCACCAGGTTGTGAGCACCGGTCTTGACAATCTCTTGTCCTATCTTGACCTGAAACCTGGGCGTAAGACAGGATGCTCTTGAGCAAAGTGACATGAAAAGAAAAAGACAGGAGGGGAGAGCCGACAGGGTTTCCATACACTAATTCGCTCCCCAATCTCCTCAACGACCCCTTCCATCGTGTTGTACTCAGGCTGTTGCATCCAATTCAACGGCGAGATCGTGTGGGCGTTACAGTGTGGAAGAACCTGGAACTTCAAGTCTTGAACCCGAACGTGGGCGCCTACCATGAGCTTGCCTGCGACATCGTCAACATCAGACAAGACTTAGTTCTCACAAACACAATCCAAACAGGCACTCACACTCGTTCTGAGGCTCATCCCTCCCGACGGTGAGAATCACATGACTCCCTTGCCTGCACAACGAGACTGACGCGGGAGAGGAGGAGGAGCCGATCTCACCTCCCCTTGATCACGTCGATCACTTCCTGCGAGCCCGATGCGTCGTCTGACAGCCCTCGTGCACTCATTGTCCGCTCTACACCAACCTCCGTCTATCACCTTTTACTTCGCACGATTTCTTGTCGTCTTTAGCAGCGATGATGTAGTCTCCGACCTTGATCTGCTCGGTGTTCAGGATGCCCCTTGCAAACATAACAATCTCTCCCCACCTTCCCGCTCTTCTCTGCGGCACATCCTTGATGCAGTTCGACGATCACGACTAGCAAGTCACGTTAGGAGCAAGAGGAGAGGAGCCGAGCAAGTACGTCGAGACACAGGATGAGACCTCAAAGTAGAGGGTGTGAAGGGATTCATTACGACCTGACGCTCGAAGGCGATCCCTACCCCGACAGGTTTCTGAGCACAAGCAACGTGAGGACGGAGGAAACGGCAGGAGGGGAAAGGAGTATTGCCTCATACTCTCTCTCATCTTGAGCTGCATAAAATCCATGCGCCCCAGGGACCTCAGGGATCCGCCATTGGACGCAATCCTCACCCTCCTGCCACGAGGAGGCTCCATAGTCAGTCGAAGGAGTGAGGTGACGGCAAGTGAGCATGGATTCCAGCACAGCAAGACATGGAGGGAGAGTAGTGCACAACGTCACTGTGAGAGCATTATGTAGCTCTGCCTTACCAGGCTCCTCAACCTCTCTTGGCGTGATGAGTCAAGCTGCAGCATCCCGAAGCCGCGTTCTCTCCCGGCCTGCCGTCACATGATTGTTACTGCGGCATCATCACTCTGGTCCCTTGGGCTCGTTTCAGAGTTTCACTCAGTCAGGTGTGCAGTCTGAAGATTACTTAGGCATGGCAGCCGTACAAACTCGTTCGGTCAATTTCCCCTCTGCTACTTCAGAAGTTCAAGACGCCACTGACTGTATGTTGATCCGATCGCCTTGCCGGCACGCCATCCCCTCTTCCCCTCTACCCACAACTTCTCCCGCTCCTCTCCGCCCCTCCCATCCCTCTCCCTCGCCGCTCCCACCGCCATCGCCTCTGAAAACTTGAAAGATCAGTCAACCATCTTTCAAGAGTCCTGACGCTCTGTAAAACTTTACCGTTACATATGTTACAACTCAACAAGCAGCAGTTACAGTCAGTTATCATCGAAGCAATCGAGAAGCAGGGGTAAAAGGGGGTGGTTGCACAAGGGGGTCAAAAAGAATGAAGTAGGTAGGTAGGGGTACTTTCCTCTAAATAGTACGGGTACTAGCGCTGAGATTGTTTGTGCGTCGAAGGGTAGTGGGTGGGGGTCACCGCAGAACCCGATGCAGGCTGTGATTCAGCAGTGAGGAGAGGAAAGGAGAGGAGAGGAGAGGAGAGGAGAGGAGAGGAGAGGAGAGGAGACGAGTCGAGAGGACGATAAAGTCAGCACGAAGAAGGGAACAACAGCTGTTTCGTCACCTTAGATCATCCTTATTTGTACCTTGATTGGCTAGTAAGGTCGAAAGGAGGGGAACGAGAGTTTGTGCTGAGATGTCAGGCATGGAAGGGATGGAGGAAGATACGTGGGATAAGGACGAGCATGAAAAGTTCGGTGGATCAGACAGCATGAGCGACTTCGTGCATGTGGAGGCATCGGAACTTACAGAAGCCGAAAGGGAAGTAGAGGTGGAGGAGGTTGGATCGAGCGATGATGCAACAGCGGCAAAGCAGTCTGTGAGGTCGGACGACGAGGAAGGGAGCAAGCTTGGCGATTCGTTCGCTCTCGTGCCTCTTATGAAAGGAGCGCATGAGAACTGGCAGTTCCGATTCATCCGCAACTCAGCCCTGCTCATCATCGCGCTCAAGATTGTCTGGCGAGTGATCAACACTTATCGCGAGCGACAGAGGCTCAAGGAGCAAGTCAGGTCGAGCAAGTTTGCTATCCGAATGGTCTGTCCTCCCTCCTCTCATGGGGTTCAAAGTCACTGACCATCTCGAGCAGTTGCAGGCGGAACTCCTGTCCGTGCTTGCCGACCGCCAGCAGCTGGAGAAGTTGTTGCTGGATGTCGCGGTATGCCAGCGTCGCTGATTCCTGCTCTCTGTTCTCTGCGAGTTCTTGTCCCTCACTGTGTTGTTGAAGTAAGTTGTTCATTGAGCAGAAGATGACATGTCTCTGACAGGATCAGAACCACATGTTGAGGACGTTTGTCTCCGACAAGTGGTTCTTTTTCTGAAGCATCATCCTCCGCCACCGCCTCCTCCTCACTTTCAGCTTGACAGCGACGCGTTAACCCCCCAGGAGCGGAGAGATCAGTCTTATCCAGGAGTCTCGGATGTCCTCCTGGTCTGGTGACAATCATGTTACAACCGTCCCGCACAGAGTGGTCAGTGCCTGCTGCGAGGAGGTAGAGGGAGTGACGGGCGTCGACTTCTCTGCCCATCTGATCCAACCAAGATGATCAGGGTTATATGATGAGTGAAATTATCCTCCCTCCCTCCCTCCCTCCCTCCTCTTCCTTCACACTATTGGAACCCCCTTCCTCTCTCCCTGGCCGCCGCCGCCCCCCAACTTCCTCCTCCTTCCTCACTGGTTTCCTTTCTGTCTCCCTGGCCAAGACTCGTCTGCTTCTGCCTCCCTCAGGCCCATTCAATGGCCATCTCTGCCTTGCACTCCATTCATTCTATCCCTTTCCCCCTCCCTCCCCTAGCTGCCTCCGCGCCTGCCTCCCCTCCACCTCGCTCTCCGCCTCCACCTCGCTCTCCGCCTCCATTTCCTCCCCCTCTGTATTCCAACCCCCCCTTGTCCTCACCTGTATGCAGAATGCGAAGGCGGCAGATTCATGGCAGAAAGTGTTGAGCTGCCAACAACATCATCCCCTTGCAGCACCAGAACGTTGCGCTACCGTGCCATTGACCAGGGGAATCGCCCCCAGCCGCCTCCGGAGACTCGCGTCATCGTAGTAGCTCTGCCACCTCCACTCATACTCGTGCTCCGAGCACGCGCGTGCAGTACCATGTGCAACCCGTCGCTGTCCTCCAGCACAAACCATCTCCTCCTCCACCTGGTCCCCCAGCACCAAATCAGAAGGGCCCTCTTCCTACCTCAAACTGCTCCTCTCCTCCCTGATCTAGCTTTTCTCCCTTTCTCTGTCCTTCCTCCTCGCCCCTGCCTCCTGTTTCACCTCCTCGTCCAGTCTGAATCTTGCTTCCACAGCCATCCTTGAGCAAAGATCACTCTGCTACTCTTCCCTTCCTCGTTCGGGACCCAGGGAGCTGAGGAGAGTTCGTCCTTGTTGAAGGGCAGGCTGCCCTGCCCCTTGGTCACATGGATCCCGCTGACGTTCCTGATCGTCTCAAGAGCGAGCAGAAGGCCCTTCATCCCTCCCCCTGCGCCGGACTTCATCGTCCAAGTCAGACTCCAAGTGCTTGCAGACGAAGGGAGCTGGATCACCGTGTTCTTCCCCTGCTCCTCCTCCTCGTTCGCGGCCTCTGCTGCTGCTGCAACTTCATTCTCGTGCCCCACAGTCGCAACGATACGCACAGGACTTGTTGGCTACGGAACGGATGGAGTATGTTCGCTTCGCTTCCTCAACTTGTCAGCACCTTGCCGCTCTCTCGGCAATGATCACCTGAGTCCACCATAGCGTTGAGGGCCGCTGAGTTGGGATCAGGAGGACAAGCCTGCGAGACCGACGCAAGAAGGAAGAGGTGCGGGAAGGGAGTAGAGAAAATGAATGAGCATGGAACAGACAGGGGGAGGAAGCAAGAGAGAAGAAGGAGGGAGAGGGAGAGGGAGAGAGTAAGAGCAAGACAGCGCATTCTCAACGACCAACTTTGTCGCTCCGGAAACTCTTGAGAGTGACGTCACTAATGGACTGCAATGACTTGTCAGCATCTCCATCGACAAGTTCCCCTCCCAGTGCCTGCAGGACAGACTGCGTCCAGGACTGCTGAGGAAGCCTCCGGATCTCTCCCTCCTGTGAGCTCGTTAACGAGAACTTTTGTTCGCTTCCTCTTACCTGACTCTCTTTCCCTTCCATGTCCGCACCTCCTCCGGGCTGACCTGACTGAATCCCGCGTCCAGGAAGCAGCACGTCATCCTGAGGTTGACCAAGAAGAAGCGTCAGCTCCACTTGCTTCGAATGGAGGACATTCACGCACGTGGCCGCGCTGAGGATGAGGCATGAAGGAAGAATGTTTTACTGAATGCTTGATGGCGTTGACAATGATGATTCGTAACCCCACCTGCTTTATCCCGAGATCCTTCGTGCAACGTCAGTTCCTAAATCTTGCCCGGCTCCCCCCTCCTTCCCTCGTCCCCATCCTTCAGTGCTCTTCTCCTCCATCCCTCCCAATCCTGCCCCACTGCTCCCCTGCCATCCTCGCACTTACCTTGAGGTCTTCATTAGAAAGGAACACAAGAGATTCGCCGCTGATCAAGTTTTCTTTGAATCTGATACATCATCCGACCAATCAGACGTTCGAATCTCCTCCTCCCTCCCCTCCTCTCTACACACTTCTGCCGCACTTCGTTCACGTCAAATGGCCCGACCTTCTCCGACAAAGATTGCAGCACTTCCTGCCCATCAAACGGTCACCACCCCCCTCGTCATCCTACCAAGTTTTTCTCCTCCCCTCCTCCCTCCTCCCTCCTCCCAGTTCCGTCCTCCTTCCTTCTGCTCCTTCTGCTCCTCCAGGGCCCTCAGTCTTCATTACCCGCAACCATCTGTCGACTCCGCGATAGTCCATGTTGATGATGCTGGGATGAGGATGGCACTGGAGGTGAGAGTTGCCGCAGTAGCGAATCTTCTGCAGCCAGAGGTCTCGACTGTGCGCATCGTTGAACGCCAGGCAGTAGACCTGGAGCAGCATCACGCCCACAAGAACTATCACCACTCTATCTATCATAGTAGTTATCTTCCTGTCGTCCTGCCTGTCTCCATTCATTCACTGCTCTCTAAAGTCCGCATCGACTCTTTCATTCGCACTACTCCATATCCACTCACTGGACTTGTGCTACCGTCCGCCAGACCTTCTTTTTCCTGTTCGCATCTCACCTTGGAGGGCAGGCACAGGGGAAGCAGATTCCTGACTGCATCAAGCACGGCTCTACTGATCCTCAGCGTGATTCCATACTGGAAGCTCCTGCCGAAGAGGAGGCTCTGAAGGAACGACTCCAGGATCAGCAGCCATGCCTGAGCTTGCACGTCTTACCGTGAAGTCACTCGCCTCTGCCACAGAGTTCATCAGAGGAACTTTGCCGAAAGGCTCCGACTGAGCCCCCGCCATGTGGAAGCAAAGCACCCCATGCTGTAACCCTACATCAGCCCCTGCAACCCCCAACTTGCCATGGAAACCTTTAAGCTCGTATAGCGCCTGTTCCACGATGAAATGAACTTCGATGAGTCCTGCTGCATTGACGCGTGAGCGCCTTCAGAGCAATCCCCTGCTCTCTCTCTCACCAAGAAGATCCAGTCCTCGGCAAGCACATCGTCGTGGTCTGACAACCCTTTCAGTTCCGAAGCAGTTTTATCCACAACACAGAAAACGGAATTCACGCTAGCCGAAAGAGAGGCAGAGGAAGAGGAACTTGGACTCACAGCTCTTGCTGGAAGGATAGGAGAGATTTCCTGTCTCGATCTCACCGTGCAGGATCGCCTGCAGACAGTCAGAGATCGTTGCGCAGGATGCACACGCGGGACATCCTCACGTTGGATTCTCCTTCCTTGTTGAGATGTGCATCGACGGCTGCGGGCTGGTCCCTCCCCGCTTTCTTTGCTCTCGGTGGTCCAGAGCAGCATCCCGAGAAGCAGGATGAAAACAGAGATCCTCCTCGAAGCTGCAGTACTAGATTTTGAATTGGCGTCTCCGGTGATTTCATATTTCCCGATACACGTGCTTGCAGCAAAAGCAGGATGGTGCATGCTGTCTTCCTGGCGAACGATTCACGGGAAACGGCATCTCGGCTTCGGAATCCCATCCTAACAAGCTGCTTCAAAGTTGCGCGTATAGCCACGACGGGCCTTTCATGCAGCAGCGCCGTTGACTGGAAGTAGGAAAAGACCTGCAGTAGATGTCACAGTCCTTCTCATAGCATACTTGCCCTCCCCCTGTCACTGTCACCATCTACTCATCCTCTCCTCCTCTCCTCCTCTCCTCCCCTCCTCCCTCCTCCCTCCTCCCTCCCCTGACTCTCGCCCATGACTCCTATTCCACCAGCTCCATCATATTCTAGGAGCCCTCATACCGCCCGCCACAATCGCCTGCGGTTCCAGCTGCGGGTCCAGCTGCGGTTCTGAAACCTGTTGTGCTGAAACAAGTCTCTCCTCCTTGCTCTACTTTGGTGAAAATGTCCGATGTCTGCTGTGTTATGTGTTGTTAGGGATTGACAACTCTGTTTTGATCTAACTTGATCCTGAGAACTTGAACCAACTCGTACACGCGCGTTACACGAGCAAACAGAAGACTTACGATTGTGAGAAACGCGTGTGTAGAAATTTAGGATGATTTTCTTCAAGTCCAAACATGTAGGCTGAGCTCATTAACCGAAGATTCAGAGTAGGAACGAATCCTAAACCACCTCATGTATTTAGCATTTAGCTTGGCTTTATTAGGCAACACGGAAGAGTACAGATTCTCCTCCACACTGCTCCTCATCACTGAGCCGGGCTTCCCAAGTTTGGTGAGACCAAACTTTGAGATGGAAATCCCGGTCCTGGCATGCCATGTAAGGAGTCGGAGGTTTGCACTTCTCAATCATCTGTGACCATCGTCTACCATGTCGTGGAGAAACTTGAAATGTTAAGTTTCAGACACCCTCAATACTACCCGTTCTTTTGCTTTATCAAGTACCCACAAATATGTCCCTCGAGCCCGAAAAGTTCTCTTTTTAATAAGCTCTGATTTCAAAGCTCGAGCCTCCCCATTTATACAGCACCCCTCTTGCGAAAGCGGGTAGCAAACTAGAGAACATCGCCATGCAGGTAGTAGGCCGGTATATTTTGTCTGCTGGGAGGATGCGAAGCCTCCATGCAGGCCTCTCAGGGCTTCACCCGCGAGTACGCTCCTTCACCACAGGCGCTCATGCATCTTCTCGCAATCGCGCTTCAAAACCATATCTGAAGTATGCGTGTGAGTTGCTGGAGATTCAAGCTCCAACTGAGCAAGCCTTTGCCGTTGCAATGGCGCTGCGCGACAAGGATAAGGATACGGAAAAGCAGCTGAAGCTGCAGCTGCAGGAGAGATATCATCGGTGTATTGTCGATTACTACAAACGGCTAGTGGCATACATCACTCAAAGGTGTACAGTTTGTTTGCCATGATGTTGTAGCCTCTACTGAATGCGCAAACACAGGTATCTGGTTGAGGATCTTTTCAGGAATGCTATGGATATTATTGCCAACAGTCAGGATGGGGAGATCCACGCTGTAAAGAAAGACTTGCCACGCAAGGACTTGCAGCTGATGAGGAAACGACAGCTTTCTATGAGCGCGATGAATAGGCACTTGCAGACGAATAATAGCTTACGACTGGCCGTATGGAAACAGATCGGGTTACCAGAGGACCTTTTGATACCTCCTTTATCACAGGAGAAGATTTTGTATGGTTTCCTGTCGGAACACATCCATGGACCGACGGGGCTGTTTGTGTTTTTATCTTCACGTACAGCTAAAGAGGAGATCAGATTTTTCAGAGATGTTGCATCTGTTTTCAAGAAGGAGGTAGACTTTTTCGAAGAAGTGTCAGCAGAAGAGGGAGAGCTGATAGAAACTAAATCTATCCTGGAAAAACATAAGCGAAAATCTGGGGGCGATACAGAGCCAAAGCCATGAGATGGAAGAGGGTCAAGCAAGCTCTTCCGTGCCGTGCTCAGTTTGAGACATTTGACTTCAACCTCATCATAACCATGTCTTCCAAGTCCATCATGCCTGAGAATGTTGTTGATACGATATTGTTCGATTTGAGTTTCTTCTTGAATCTTCTAGCCTGTGACCATGTATGTTGAGCAAAAGTAAATGGAAAGAAAGGAACCTTGAAAACATTCTGTACAGGTTATCATATCAGCGACTCAAGTTAGTATGTCATTTCTGCTTGCCGTGCACTGGCCGGCCCGGCACATGGACGACGTGTTCTTCATCCTCAAGCTTATCAGTCGATGAGTGCATCACTTCGTACAACACACTGAGTAGTCAGTGCGGCTGCACGCCTACCCCTACCCTCGCATCTTCTCCCCCAGGGGCGTAGGGGGCAGCTCCCCCTCCTCGGGCAGCCGGATGGGCGGAGACGTCGCCCATCTCGTTCTCCTTGCGATTCGTCGCCATGAGCATGATCCTCGGCTCCTCCATGAGGAGAGCTTCATCACTCCATGAGGAGAGCTTCATCACTCCATGAGGAGAGCTTCATCACTCCATGAGGAGAGCTTCATCACTCCATGAGGAGAGCTTCATCACTCCATGAGGAGAGCTTCATCACTCCATGAGGAGAGTGGCAGCTGCGGTTCTGAAACCTGTTGTGCTGAAACAAGTCTCTCCTCCTTGCTCTACTTTGGTGAAAATGTCCGATGTCTGCTGTGTTATGTGTTGTTAGGGATTGACAACTCTGTTTTGATCTAACTTGATCCTGAGAACTTGAACCAACTCGTACACGCGCGTTACACGAGCAAACAGAAGACTCACGATTGTGAGAAACGCGTGTGTAGAAATTTAGGATGATTTTCTTCAAGTCCAAACATGTAGGCTGAGCTCATTAACCGAAGATTCAGAGTAGGAACGAATCCTAAACCACCTCATGTATTTAGCATTTAGCTTGGCTTTATTAGGCAACACGGAAGAGTACAGATTCTCCTCCACACTGCTCCTCATCACTGAGCCGGGCTTCCCAAGTTTGGTGAGACCAAACTTTGAGATGGAAATCCCGGTCCTGGCATGCCATGTAAGGAGTCGGAGGTTTGCACTTCTCAATCATCTGTGACCATCGTCTACCATGTCGTGGAGAAACTTGACATGTTAGCGGCACAGCCTCATCCGGAGCCAGTGAGGGTTTATGCAACTCCGGGTATGACAGGTAGCGATTGCTTGTTTTTGGCGGGATGAAAGGTTTGTGGGTTTGATTTTCGCGGTAGTTTGAAACATGTCTAAAAGTTTCAGACACCCTCAATACTACCCGTTCTTTTGCTTTATCAAGTACCCACAAATATGTCCCTCGAGCCCGAAAAGTTCTCTTTTTAATAAGCTCTGATTTCAAAGCTCGAGCCTCCCCATTTATACAGCACCCCTCTTGCGAAAGCGGGTAGCAAACTAGAGAACATCGCCATGCAGGTAGTAGGCCGGTATATTTTGTCTGCTGGGAGGATGCGAAGCCTCCATGCAGGCCTCTCAGGGCTTCACCCGCGAGTACGCTCCTTCACCACAGGCGCTCATGCATCTTCTCGCAATCGCGCTTCAAAACCATATCTGAAGTATGCGTGTGAGTTGCTGGAGATTCAAGCTCCAACTGAGCAAGCCTTTGCCGTTGCAATGGCGCTGCGCGACAAGGATAAGGATACGGAAAAGCAGCTGAAGCTGCAGCTGCAGGAGAGATATCATCGGTGTATTGTCGATTACTACAAACGGCTAGTGGCATACATCACTCAAAGGTGTACAGTTTGTTTGCCATGATGTTGTAGCCTCTACTGAATGCGCAAACACAGGTATCTGGTTGAGGATCTTTTCAGGAATGCTATGGATATTATTGCCAACAGTCAGGATGGGGAGATCCACGCTGTAAAGAAAGACTTGCCACGCAAGGACTTGCAGCTGATGAGGAAACGACAGCTTTCTATGAGCGCGATGAATAGGCACTTGCAGACGAATAATAGCTTACGACTGGCCGTATGGAAACAGATCGGGTTACCAGAGGACCTTTTGATACCTCCTTTATCACAGGAGAAGATTTTGTATGGTTTCCTGTCGGAACACATCCATGGACCGACGGGGCTGTTTGTGTTTTTATCTTCACGTACAGCTAAAGAGGAGATCAGATTTTTCAGAGATGTTGCATCTGTTTTCAAGAAGGAGGTAGACTTTTTCGAAGAAGTGTCAGCAGAAGAGGGAGAGCTGATAGAAATTAAATCTATCCTGGAAAAACATAAGCGAAAATCTGGGGGCGATACAGAGCCAAAGCCATGAGATGGAAGGGGGTCAAGCAAGCTCTTCCGTGCCGTGCTCAGTTTGAGACATTTGACTTCAACCTCATCATAACCATGTCTTCCAAGTCCGTCATGCCTGAGAATGTTGTTGATACGATATTGTTCGATTTGAGTTTCTTCTTGAATCTTCTAGCCTGTGACCATGTATGTTGAGCAAAAGTAAATGGAAAGAAAGGAACCTTGAAAACATTCTGTACAGGTTATCATATCAGCGACTCAAGTTAGTATGTCATTTCTGCTTGCCGTGCACTGGCCGGCCCGGCACATGGACGACGTGTTCTTCATCCTCAAGCTTATCAGTCGATGAGTGCATCACTTCGTACAACACACTGAGTAGTCAGTGCGGCTGCACGCCTACCCCTACCCTCGCATCTTCTCCCCCAGGGGCGTAGGGGGCAGCTCCCCCTCCTCGGGCAGCCGGATGGGCGGAGACGTCGCCCATCTCGTTCTCCTTGCGATTCGTCGCCATGAGCATGATCCTCGGCTCCTCCATGAGGAGAGCTTCATCACTCCATGAGGAGAGCTTCATCACTCCATGAGGAGAGCTTCATCACTCCATGAGGAGAGCTTCATCACTCCATGAGGAGAGCTTCATCACTCCATGAGGAGCAGCTTCTTGATGAAGCTCTCGCAGGTCTTCCCGCCCCAGTCCGAGTCCGACTTCTTCGAGCAGGCCTCAGTCTCGCAGGAAGCTCTTGGCCAGCCTGGTCTTCTGGATCAGCTTGTGGCAGTCTCGCTCACAAAGATGAGCTTGCCGTACTCACAATCCGGGACCCGCTACGTGTGTCCTCGGGGTCCACCCGTTGATCGTTCTTCAGCGCCAGTGTCAGGCCCATGCGCTTCTTCTTTCCGTCGGTGTAGTTGGCCCCGCTCACCACCATGCCGGGGCAGCGCTGCTTCACCAGTAGGAGGTAGGGGGAGACGAGGACCTGCCTGAAGCAGACGGGCCCGCTTGCTCCCCGCCATGCCGAGGAACTTGGTCTTGCCCTTGTCCTGCATCTGCAGCTCGCTCTGGCCCGCAGCATTGGTCAGCAGCATGTAGAAGAGGTTCAGGTTGCTGTTCTTGAGCTAGAAGACGCGGTTGAGCTCGCTGCATTATGGCGACCATCGACGGCTCGGACGACTCTCACATGCACACGAAGCTCACCAAACTGCCCTGCGCCATCTCCCGCAGATGCGAGCCGAGCCAGCTTGCCTCTCCGATCGTGAACGAGAGCTGGAACGAGAGCCGATACGTGGCCGGGCCCGCTCAGCAGTGGCTGACGGTGACTCGGACGGCAGCCTGATCGGACCGCCGGCCTCGGGCCCACCCGGCCGCCCGCCCAGCGGGCCGCTGGTAGTGATAATTACTCAACTCGTGCTGTTACATCGCCAAGCCGATGGGTAGGGCGCGGACAATGTTCCTGTAGTGCCTGAGCAGGAGGAGGTGAAGGCAGGAGGACAAGGACTATAGACGAGACAAGTGAGAAGCAGCTACTAGAGCAGACCGAGGAAGCACCTGAAGGTCGGACACCCCCGCACCTCCTCTAGCCTGAGGACATCGGAGCACAGATACCGGGCAGACATGTCCTCGGACCGACGAGAATGGGCTGCATCTAATCGCAGTCTCTTCTCTTCCCCTGAAGCTGATAGAAGAGCATCTCTGAGATCTGTCAGCCCCATCCCATCAGCCGTGCAGAACTCTCCCGCCACTGTCTACTGGGGATCAACAGACCTGAGCATCAGGTCCCGAGTGGCCGACCGATCGCCGTTGATGTCCGAAAGTCCCTGGATCTCCGATCCTCCCAAGCGATCATCGGTGCTGCTTGCGACCTCCTTACTTGCTCACTGATCCCCTAGCAGCTGAATCGCTCAGGAGACGATCCCAGTCCCAAGTATGGGATCGGCCTCAAGGTTTAGACGCTGCTCCTTGCTTCGCTCTCGCCGCCTGATTGCCCTGCTCTACAGGTGGAGAACCGATACCCGCACATCATTCAACACGTCACAAACCTTCAAGATCCTTACGGGCATGATATCAGCGACCGGGTGCAAGTTGGAGACGTAGGAGACAAGCTCTCTCTCTCGCTGTGCGTGCCTCACGGATCGCACAGATACTGGAGCTGGTGGACGGGCAGGCTGTCACCAAGTCCAAGGACCGCATAGACTATTCCGTGCTGGGGGATTACGGGAGCGTCGTGAAGATAACGCTGAGATCAAAGAGCTCCGGCGAGCTTTACGATGTGAGCGAGGCGGTGGAGGATGTGGAGTAGAGCTGATGTTGAGCCAGCTACAAGTGAGGAGGCATCTGCTGTTTCAAGGGATGGCTCCTGATACTTCACGAGTGGAGTCGGACCTGCTCTACTTCGTGTTCAGAGCCCTCAACGAGATCCGCAACATCCTGGTCAATGACACCGGGAGCCACCTAAAGGACGCAGTGCAGATGATTCACTCGTGTGAGGGAGTGCTGGGGCTGGAGTGTGGGGAGGTGCTGGGAAGGAACTCTCTCCATGTCTTTCATGCCACCTTGGGGAGCCCCGCTCACATCTATGGCGGCCTCATGCGGGGGGACGAGGTGGGGGATGGATGGGTAGAGCAGAGCGATGGCTGACTGGTCTGGTCAGGTTGTCAAGTTCGAAGAGACCTCAGTTCAACGTGTTCACCTTCAGAATGACATCAATGTCGGTGCCATCGGCTCTGAGTGCCGCATCCGGGTGAAAGGTGAATCGAGGGGTCTCGTACTCTCGTCGTCCTGAAGCTGGTTTGCAGAGGGCAGAAGGAGCACGAGATCAAGTTGTTCCGGACGTCAGCCAATGCTGTTCATCGAGTAGAGGACCTGTAGCTCGTGATCGCTCCTCGACCTCCCGCTGATCTCCTTGACTGCCAGGTTCAAGGCCATTCAACTGCTCCGTGAGAAGATGTTCAGGACGCTATCCAACCCCGAGGAGATGGACCCTTCCATCAAGGCGAGTTCCTGTCCTCCTCCTCCTCCTCCTTCTCTCCCCCTGTGACCCCTTCCCCTCCAGCTCGTGTGGGACAACGCACTGCTGCTCGAGAAGGACAGGCAGCAGATCGAGGCCTCCATCGTCGGGGTCTTGGAGACTGTGCAGACAAACCTCTTGCACAGAGTATCGATCGCCGAGAAGTTTTTGAACCGGATCAAGCAGGAAGGTGTTGGAAGCCTCGCCGTGGACACGTCCAGGAGGTCCAACGAGTCAGGGGCACAGGCGAGTCGAGCAGAACTTGGACGGCACAGATATTACTCACGCCTGAGGTGTGTAGGATCTGGAAGAACGAAACAGATACGTTGCAAGATTCAGTGAGTGTATGAACACTCTGGCCTCCACCATCCTGAACATCGAAGATCAAATCGCTGCAATTGGGAACAAGTGATATGATGAGATTGAAATTGAACAGTGCTGATGAGCTGAAAAAGATTTGGAGACAAACAAGCATTGAACACGTGGACGATCAGCTATAAGAGTAAGTTCGATGTCAGCGGGCTCCCCGCACTATCTTCTAAACATGTCACAGACAATGAGATTGCAAACTTTGAGGATCAACTGCGCAAGAAAGAAGAGATCATAAGAAAGTTGGAAGATGAGCAAGAGAAACAATCCAGGAGCTTGGAAGCGATAAGGATAGAAGAGCAGAGGCAGCAATCGGTATATCAGCAAGTCCTCTTGCAATCAGCGTTGTGATGTTTACCTGCAGGAGTCCAAGTCAGAGGCAGCGTACCTCAAGCAAAAGCTCGAGAGGGTGCAAAGGGAGCTGGATAGAGCTGAATCCTCCAACTTGGACCTGAGGAGGGAAGTCGAAACCTTGCAGGCGGATCTCAAGGAGAAGGTCTCTCCCATCCCTTCCAGGAGCAGCCATGTTTCCTCCGGCGTCATGACAGACCCTGTCGATGTAAGCTCCGCCCCGAGACCGTCACTAGATCCTGACCCTCACATTGAAGGAAGGGCCTGGTAAGGAAAGCTTGCAGGCGGAGATCGACGAGCTGAAGAAGAAGGTGAGAGGAGGAGGAGGAGGAGGAGGAGGAGGAGGAGGAGGAGGAGGAGGAGGAGGAGGAGAAGCGGTAGTATGGAGGAGCAGTGAGGAGGAGGGATGAGGGATAGGTGATGGGCAAACAGGTGTTGGAGCTGGAGAAATCCAACTCTGAATACCGGGTGCTCCTGGAGAAAGAGAAATTGGAGGCGCAGAGAACCCACGAGAGGATGATGGAGATGGAGAAGTTCAAGGAGGAGCTGATCACGCAGATGCACTCGGCACATCAAGAGGTAGCTCTCCCCTTGCCGCCCTCCTCCGCTGAACTCCTGCAGCTGAACCAGAACAAGCAGGCGCTACAGGAGAAGGAGATTGTTGCCAAGGAAGTCCTCAAGGAGTTTGCGAGCCTGCAGAGGAGTCAGGAAGCATCCATCACGAGCATGAAGGACCAGATTGCGGAGTTCTGCAGGAAGTACTCCACGGACTTCTCGACCCTGGATGACTCCAACTCCTTCGAGTCCCTCAACGTCGTCTTCAACAGCGCCGTCGAGCTGGTGACGGAGGTCATTCAAAACGCCGAGGAGAGACGGGAAGAGGCCGAGGCGAGCAGGAGGGAGTGCGAGCGGCTTGTCAGGTTCGCTCCTCTCTCTCACTTCTCCCCGTCCCCTCGCTCACAGTCGCTGACCTCCGCAACTCTCAGCGAGAAGGAGGAGCTGATAAGGCAGCTGGAGCAGAAGCCCGACAACAAGGAAAGCGGGGACAAGAACCTGTCGCTCATCATGCAGCAGATCTCTGACCTCAAGGAGCAGCTCGCTGACCTGCAGAGGGAGAAAACCAGACCTGCGCTCGCCTCCCAGGAGAGCCTGAGGACAGACCCGCTACTCCTCAAGAAGATCGACATCTCCTCCAAGGTCGGACTGCCTCTCTCCCCGAGCCAGGAGCAGCGGAAGCTGTCGAGGCCCACCAGCAGCTCCGTGTCGGTCGCTGACTTCCAAGACTACACCTTCACCAGCAGTGACGTCAGGTGGGCGAGGGCTGGGGGCGCACGCGGCTGACGACTGGCAGGGTCGACGCGGTTGCTGGAGGACAGCAAGAACGAGGACAAGAACGAGGAATCATCGGGTTCACCATAGAGAGAGAATTTCCTTTCCGCGTGCTCGAGGTAGTGCAGAAGAGTGGCTGTGGTGACCATGCCCATGACCGTCACCATGATGATAATGATGAGCTTATGATGATGATGATGATGATGATGATGATGATGATGATGATGAGACGATGATGATGCGACGACGACGACGACGACGACGACGACGATGATGATGATGATGGAGGAGGAGGAGGAGGAGGAGGAGGAGGAGGAGGAGGAGGAGGAGGCAGGCGCATCTTGGAGCTGAGCAATCATCCAGATCCATGACCTCGTCGACGAGTACGGGAACACTATCAACGACGCCATCGAGATCGGGGACATGCTGACGCATGTAGACGGGGAGGACATCACAGACGAGACCATACACTTCGTGCTGCAGAAGCTGTCGGGCCCGCCGGGGGGCAGCATCAACCTCATCTTCCGCACTGAGCGAGCGAGCAGTTACGAAGTCGTTGTGCAGCGACATCGACCGCGGACTACGAGCAAGAAGTTCGGGAACCTTGAGACGTTCCATATGAACGATCACGGTCAGATCTCCCCGTCTGACGTCAGCGATGTTCGGATCAACCGGCTGCCGGTCCCGCAGGTGAGTGAGAGGTGGGAGATGGAGGCTGGGGGATGACGAGACGTGAGAAGGCGGCGGAGGAGGAGGGCCAGCATCGTCTTCTTCAGTCTCCTCCTCGTGGAAGGGCCGGGGCGAACCGTTTCTAACCTTGAATGTTGTTTGTACAGTCTAAATGAAGTCAAGCCTTGCAAATCCTCTGCCTCATCGTCGTCAAGCTGTGATGGATCACACGGAAGGAATCTCTTTGCCGCATCCTCTCCCTCCAGCTGTTCGGTCCCAGTCACTCCCTCCCCCCTCCTCCCTCCCTCCTCTCCTCGTCTCTCCATCTCACCTTGAGAACTTGTTGAACTTGGAGTAGTCAGGGGAGAGCAGCTCAACCTGCCCGAGCTCGTCAGCGTCTTCGCCTCACATCTCACAGCTCTCACTGTCTCCAGCTCTGCGATAGCCACGAGGTCTGCGATGCACGGCGACGGCCCGCACAGATACCCAGAGGCGTCACTGATCCAGTGCTGCACTGACATGAGACGGTCCGCAGGCAGGGGCGACAACAACCTTGTCCATGGTGGCGATGGCGTCCTGCAGTAGACGCTGGTCAGAGCGATCCTCTCCTCCTAGCCCTCTTCCCACCATGAACTGGGTCGACATGGAACTCAGCAAGCTAACATCACGAGTACATGTCATGGCGGCGATGATAGCGGTGACTGCAGCAAGTTCAACTCTCACAGGTGCACCATGAGATCCTCACTGCTCTGCTTGACATGCCGGCCATGCCACTCGAGATATTCATCCACTTTCGCTCTCTGCCTGCATCGGCGCGGATCATGAAAGGCGCCGCTCGAAGCGTATGCTCACCGCAAGTCTCGGGGATACCAGTGCAAGCAGCAAGGAAAGAACTCACAGAGGAAACGGAGGATGGCACTGGTCTCTGTGAGGATGTAGTCCTCCTCGTCAGCCTGCCTGGCTACAAGATGCAGCACTGGAACCTGCGCGGGGGTGAACAAGAGGAGGCGGAGAGGTGATACTCAGTCTACATCCTTCTTGGCGTTGAGGAGGCTGAATTCCGACGTGTGCGTCTCTCCTCGCATGATGTCCACCTCAGTCACATCGGCTGTTTGACCCTCCTCTCGCATCAGCATCAGGATGGCGCGGCAGCCCGCAGACAGCGGGGAGACACTGAGCTTGAGGAAGCCATTGGATAGAGGGATCGAATCGAAGAGTAGATCTTCAGGGGGATGTGTGGAAGGCAGAGGGGACGGGAAGACGTTCATCGATGCAGAGTCTTTGTCTGAGTGGATGTCGATCACCAGCTTCTCGTGCTTGTCCTCGTCGGCAAAGTTCTGTCCCTCCTCCCGCTTGCTTTGATCCCGCTGATCCCGCTGTGCCTGCCGTGCCTGCTCATGGATCCTTCTGGCTTCCGTTCCAGCTCTCAGCTGATCGCTGACTCCCACAGCATCTTCCCATGCTCTTTCTTCAACTGCCTTCTCCTCCTCCTCCGCTGCCGTGGCCGCACCAGCCTCCTCCTCCTCGGGTTCAGTGTGCATTGTAGAGCATCGGGGTACGATGAGGCGGACTTGCAAAGCTTTTTTGGATGCGGCATGGTCGGGGGTAGATCAGCGGAGGATGAAGGGCAGTAGGCGGGGCCTGGCGCTTGCTTGCTTCATGGCGACCATGTCGAGCATTGAAAACTTGAGCGTCGAACAGCTCCACAAGATCAACACGTGGAAGAAGTTCGTCGACGAGCGGCCATGGAGCGCGGTTTGGGACTTCTACGAAGGAACCATCCTGGACGAGGCAAGCCTCTCCCTTGGCGCGGGGAGGGAGGGGAGATGACGTTGGGGCAGAGGAAGATGAAGTCGAACGCCTTCCCCGTCGACCCCGTGGGCTGCGATCTCTCACTGTGGAGGTGGAAGCTAGAGAATCCGGATGGGAGGCCCCGGTCAAGTCCCGAGCCGTTGCTCCTTTGGTTCTGTTCCTGACTCGCGGCTGCAGAAACGACAGAAGAACGTACGTGATGCAAGTATCCTACCTCGGAACAGACTTCTCTGCAGTTCAACGATGCCCAGGTACCGCCTCCTCTGCTTTGCTTGACCTCAGCACAAGGGCACCAGGGGTTCGGACCGTGCAAGAGGAAGTTGAGAAGGTGCTCGAGAGTATCTTCACCAACTACAGCACGAGGCCTCATAGCCTGGTAGTGCATCAAGCTTCTCCTTTCGACCCCTCACCTCCCCTCAGGTGCTCGCAGGGCGGACAGATTCTGGCGTGCATGCGTACGCACAGGTTTGCCGGGGAGGACAGGGAGGGAAGCAAGGTGATGGGGCAGCAGATGTTCTCATTTCATTGCTGGGATGCGATCAAGACCTGCCAGCTAGTGGAGGACATGAAGTGAGTGAGAGCTCCGCATCCTCCGCCATCTGTTGAGGTTGACGTGCCCGCAGCTCGAGGCTGCCGCGGGACGTGCGGGTTGTGATGATGGAACAAGTTGCGAGAGGATGGCCCTGTGGAAAGTTGTTAACTCACCATCAACCAGATGCCCAGGTCCTTTCATGCCAACTTTGCAGCCACCTGGAGGAAATATTGCTACGTCTTCCCGCTGCAGGAGATCGGAGCAGGACGGTTCGATGTGGAAGCGGAAGAAGTAGATAGCATGTTGAGGGGTCTGGAGGGGAGGAGGAGGCATTACAACTCGTTCTCGTACAAGGTATGCACGTTACAAGTCTCTCTATCTCCTGATGGACCCCTGCCAGGAGCACAAGGCGCTCCAGAGCAACTCCGATGCGGACGTCTGCTGCATTCTGCGAGGCAGAGCTTTCAACTTTCACCTCTCCGACCAAACGGCAGGCTTTTTTCTCCCGCCTTTTCTATCACGTTGAGTTGCTCCAGGTGCTGGTCGTCGAGCTGACAGCCAACAGGTTTCTCAGGAGGATGGTGAGAAGTTTGTGCCTCCTCCCCAAACTGACGGTCTGCTTGGACTTCAGGTGCGGAAGCTAGTGGCTACAGCCATTCGGGCAGCCGCTTTTCCAGAAGAAGAGAATTCTTTCACGTGGGGGATGACTTTTTTTGTCTTGACAACTTCTGATGCTGCCATGTCGCAGGAAGATTCTTGAGGCGTGCGACAGCTCTCGCTCTGCTCCTCCTCTCCCAAGGTCCTGCAGGCCTTCAAGCGATCGGGTCAATGTTTCCTGACTGGGACCGCAGCATCGGCCTCTGCCTAGTGGGAGTAGGATACGACGACTACGACAAGAAGAGAGGAGGTGCTGCCATCCACTCGCTAGCCTGACGGAGCAGCAGCGGAGGGGTTGAGTGCTTCCTTCATGTATCAGAGAGCGCTAACGACAACTTGGCTATCCTCCCTCGCAGCGAATCCACCCGGGCCGTGAGGGGGCTGGTCACATCCGGGATGTTCACAGACACTTCTTGCAGCGGCCTGCTCTGTCGGAGCGACTTGATCGACTTCGTGGTCGGGCTACGAGGAGAGGAACGATGTCCTGCTGACTGAGGATCGGCGCATCCCTTCTCCCACTCCTGGAACAGCTCGTGCGCTCTTTGCATATCCTTTGGGAGGCCCTCGCCCTGTTTAGGATCAGCGCAGCTGCCAGTGTTGCCTCCTGCTCCCCCTCCTCACCTGCGCGTACATGGTTGCCAGCTGATACTTTGCCAGCACGTGATCTCCCTTCAGCGCAGCCTGAGGAGCAAGAAACCCTTTCACCAACATGGCCTAGTTTCAATCCAACTGACCTGCAGCCACCTCACAGCCTCCCTGATGCTCCTTTGGTGAAAATTCTCGTCTTCTGGTCTCACGTCAGCGAGGGACTGAGGTCATGCCTCTGACTCACCTTGCCCTCCCTTCGGCTCTGACAGATCTGAAATAATCAACAATCAAGAAGTTGGCAAACGAAGGGCAACAATGGTTTACAAGCTCTTTCACTGTAGTACATCATCCCCAGTTGATACGCTGCCTCCGAGCTCCCAGCCTTCTCAAAACGTTTCAAAGATTCTCAGCATGAGGTCTCAACTCCACCTCAGCTGCACAAGTGAAGAAGTTTTGCGCCTTGGCATCGTCGGGTGGCTGCAACCCATTAGCTGGAAGGCAGGAGAGGGCGGGGGGACTACCTGGCTCTCTAGGTACTTGATCCCGACTTGCACGCAGCATTCTTCCGATCTGCCATCTTCACGTCACAACTGCAATGATGCAGAGTGACACGGTGTTCCGCTCACCCGTGCAGTGCAGCTGCTTCATAATACATCATCGACCTTTCGACGTCTATCTCATACCCATCACTGCCGTACCTGAAGAAATATGTCAGGCGCTTTCAGGAAGGGGTGAGGTAGAATGATAAAGCTCTAGAACAAAGGAAGACACAAACAAAATGGCCGAGATCCTAAGGGGCAGCAGCTGGGAGTAGAGGTGGCGTTGAGTAGCAAGGAAAGCAAGCCCGAGGAAAGAGGAGGATGCCAGGCTTGCAGGGGTAGTGTAGGATCATAAAATACGCAGAACTTGTCAAAGGCGAGGTCAATTTCCTCATTTTATGGAGAGGGCTTACTTGTATGCATCACCAAGCTTCTTCATTTCGTCCGCAAAACCTGGTATGCTTCCAAAAATCCTGACAGGGGTCGTTAGACCGCAGCGGCAGGTTGCCATTTCAGACTTGTTCGAAAACGAAGAGACTCTGTGAAATTCTTCAGGATCAGAAGTAGGACGACTTGTGAGCAGCTTCTGTCTTTCGGTCTTTAAACTTTAAGGTGTCAAAACCAAAACAGCACCATTTGAAGGGCATACCGAGATATCTCTAGTTCATAACCCTGTACCATGGAGGATATACAGTGTTGCAACTCATCGACCAACGCTTCCAGCTTCTGGCACCGTGGACATTTTCTTGCGATTGTCTCCACATCCTCGTCGCATGCCCCATGCTCTGATTGCATCCACGAGCCTCCCAGCAGGGGAGCTTGCATAGGAGAATGCGGGCGTCCGAATGAGAGAAATCTGCTCTTAGTTGGGCTACTCAATCTCTCACGCTCATTTCCCTGTAGAAATCTGGATCCCTTCTCTTCCTGCTCCTGCTCCTGCTCCTGCTGCTGCTCCTGCTCCTGCTCCTGCTCCTGCTCCTCCCCGCGTCGGCAAAGCTCTGCAGTCGCCCTGGTCCCCGCCATTTCGCCACTAGCGACGGGGGCAGCTGTAACTTTCCGTGCAATTTCACACTAATTTCTCTTGCTGCCCCCATTTTTCAAGGCTGCGATGATTGCAAACCCGCCTCGCGAAGAAAAATCGCCTGAGGCGATGTATGGTGCAAAGGATTATTTTAAAACTCCCTCAAGTAGGTAGGACCGAATCCTAGGCAGATAAGAAACTACTATGGTTTCTTACGATGCAACCCCTTCATTTGCCTTGAATTATACAGGTGGGGGTGGAAGAAATCTAGGGGAATCTGGTTTTAGTAGTTTTTAAAATGCAATACATGAAGCTAATTAAGTAATGCTTTTGGACCTCCTGGTACTGATCTCATTCCATGCAGGGTTTTTTTAAAATTTTGTTCACCCTACCCCACCCCCTGATTTAACATGACACATTATACCTTTGACCGGGCAAGAGGTCACTGGGGGTACAGGAAGAGGAAAATCGTATAGGAGGCTCTAGTAATTTCCCCGTCCTTTGGCACCATCGCACTAGCCTGTACTAGGGCATAACCCCACCCCCTGTTCCATTGCGACATTCAGACCTTCGATGCGCAGCGCAGCAACTTAGCACAAGCCGCTCGTTTCCCTCCTTCTTTCTTCGACCATCTCGTCGGGAACTTCTCCTTGTATTCCCTTGAGTTTCTCTCCTGCTGGATCGATCAACGTTCATGTCGGAGGTTCTGGAAATAGGCCATGGCTTGCCCATTGGTAATGCTGAACCTACTCCTGAAGAGGAACGCCTTAAAGTTCTGCACATGTTAAATGTAGCTTCTCCTTGATCCACAACATGCTGGATATTGATCATTGAATGTATACAGATCAAAGACTTCCCCTTGGACCCCGAGTGTGACAGGTGAGTGATGCAATCACTCTTTAGTCTGAATTCAACACTGAATGCATTTACTTTGAAGAATCACTGAACTCGTGAGCTGGATGTTCCACAAGCCCGTTGCATTCATTAGTTTCGTGGATAGCGATGAAGTTTGGATCAAGTCTGCTGTAGGGCTCAATGGGGCGGTACGTATGCCAAGGTCGCAAGCCCTGTGTAGCTTGACCATCACCAGCGACCAACCTCTCATCGTTGAGGACATAGCACTCGATCATCGGTTTGGAGGCAACATCATCAGAATGGATGGGACCGTCATGCGATTCTACTGCGGATTTCCTATAGATGTTGAATTTTCAGGGCAGCGATTCAGAGTTGGAAGTTTGACAACCATGGACGATAAGCCCTACTCGTTGCAAGCGCACGAAGTCCATATGTTGGAGGGACTCGCTTCTCGCATTTCCAAAATGTTACAGACCCGAATTTCTGCCTTCCAGCTTCAATCAGCACAGACAACTGTATCTGATGGGAGTGGAATGGAAAGCCTGGAGTCTGAAGTCGGTTCTTACATACAACTTGATGTCAATCATGGGCACTGGACAAATGCGTCCCTTCCAACATCCTGGGACAAGTGTAATAAGTAAGTGTCAGGTTTGCGTTTCTACGCAAACTTTCTTCATTGGCTGTATAATTGAATGACGGGCTGACTTGTCAGGTTTGAAGATATTTGGCAAAACCAGGGATTTCAGGTAAGGCCACAACTGTACTGCGAAAAGGCACTGCCGAAACAAGATGGTCACACACTCCTCCTTTTGCAGGTTGCGATGCTCAAATTTCATCAAAGCTCAACTGTTGTGTACACTTGAAGTTGATACCTTGCCTGACATTGTATGATGCAGGAGAGATACGAAGAATCAATGCAGCTGAAACCCAAGGGAAAATCGATTGCGGGGGCGAGCGAAGGCGAGAGTGCTGATGAATTCATCGACTGGAATATGGGAACTGGTGAACCGACTGAGTTCAGGGGAAGGCAAAGCATGGACATTGAGTTGTGAACTTATTTGTCAAGAGTTCCGGCTCAGCGACTCCGAAATCAAATCTCAGTTGGCATCATCCTTTTCTGTACAATACCGGACTGCTTTGAACTGTTGAACTGCACTGATGCTTGTACATGTGGAATTGAAATGACTGATGAATATGATAGAAAGCAGTTAATCTTTTACTATTGACTTGAGGAGTCACCCAATCACCACTTGAAGTTCGGCCCGGACCGGGACCGTCAAGCCTGCCACTCTGACGGTTCGAAGCTTACACCGCCGTCAGACGGTGGCCAGATGGTTGATCAATGGTCCCGGCCGCGGGCGATCACAGGCAGTGAGCCGCCGCTGAGCGTCACTGGCATGGTCCCGGGCTGAGTCCGGGGCCGCCAAACTGATCGGATCATCAGCAGCCTGCAGTGAGCGGCTGCCGGGCCGGGCCGGGCCGGGCCCAGCCTCACCGGCTGAGTATACGCGGCCGCCCGGGGCGGCGGCCGCGCGGAGCCTCACTGAGTCAAACGGCTCGGAGTTGCATTCAGCCGCTGCGGCCATCACTGCCGGTTAGGCCGTTAACTGAGTCAAGTTCCAAGTTCATAAAATTGACTACTAGGCTAAAGGCCGGGCGAACTACGACTACTAGGCTAGGAACCTACTAGGCTACTACCGTAAGTCACGACTCAGTAGTCGCTTCAGCGGCTGGACGGATATACTTGACAGAGGTGGCGTGTGTAGTAAGAAGCAAGGTTAGTGGGATACTTGGAGATTTAAAAATCTTTTCACCCGAGACTCGAGTAGGCTCATATCCCCGTATAGCATGATAGTGCCTTCTTGGGAACTTGCCAGTACCGTGGAACTTTTGATCAACACAATAGTACCAGTAATCAAAGAGTCTCATCACCATAGAGCTGAACGTGACGTTGTGGGCGTGTTATAAGACGTTACATGTTATGTATAATTTATGAAGATCTCAGCTGGTTTTATCATTCAAATAACATATTTATATATAAAAGTTCATAATGAGCACTAAAATGTCCCGCTGCGAACCGGCAAGTACCTGAACCAGAGCCCCAGGTGTTACTGACCATGGGTAGGGGGTGGGGAGATTGAATCTCCAAGGGGGTAGGGGTACTTCAGTACCCCTCAAGAACTCTTGCACAATCCTGTGCTCATGTGAACGAAGTGACTCATTATTAGATGCGACCTTTCGAATCATGGGTGGGGTCCTTTGGTTGTTGAGATGAGGTGGGGTAGTACATTGAGTAAAGTAGCCTTCGTAGGTTGCGGTGGGGATCTAACATGCAGATTTTAAAAAAAACTCTGAATGGGGTGGGGGTACTGTTGGTGGCCTTATCTGTTGATTAATAGGGGGTGATAGATAGTAAATATCAGGGTAGGGGTACCTGAACACTGGGTTAGGACCTTCCAACAAAATCGCTGCAGGATATCCGTTTGTAGTAGGGGTCCTTACATACGGAGAATGAGGGGTAGTATAAGTGAACAGACGGAAGTTGGAGAGTGTAATGGAGCGAAGGGGAAAGTCAATGGTAGGTCGGACAGAGAAGAATTGAGCAAGCAAGCGGAAAGCTGAAGAAAGGTTGGGACAAGGTAGAAAACATTGCAAAGCCTCTTTGAGACGTGAGTCCTTCGGCCTTCACTGGAAAACTTGACCTCGTTCTAGCAAGGGAGCGAGTTCGAGTGTTTCGAGTTCCGCTTTGTACTTTGGAAGATTCTTGTAGTCATTGAGGGGTTGGAACTGCTGTTCGAGTATTTGAGGTAGATCTGTCAAAGAATGGAGGACGACAACCACACTGGCGACCCGTTGAATGGTCAAGATCTACCGAAGTCAGACGATTCCGACTCGAATCGTAGCACTCGATCGCACGTCACGATTTCCACGTCTATCCTCAAGAACAAGAACCACATGCTGCTGCTACCTGGACAGACAGTATCGACGACGGCTAAGGACAATGAAGAAGAAAATCCGTTGGCTTTGACCATATTTCCCTTGTCGACATCTGAAAGCAAGAAGGTTGATCAACAAAAAGCAGAAAGCGTTGACATGAAGAAAGAGCAAAGCGAAGCTTCCTCGTCAAAACTGAAGATGATTCGAATCACAAGCTTCTTTGAGAAGAGTTCAAAAGACCCTGAACCCATTCTCGTCACATCAAAGAGAAAGAATTTGAAACCTGAAGATAGCGAGGGCAAGCATGTCCACTTCAAGATCCCCAAGGGCAACAACATGGGTCGATTTCACTTGTTTCATCACAGATCTAAGTTTCTTGTGAGATGGCATAATATTATGTTGCTACCTCTATCATACGAGCCATGGGCTTACCCTTTCCGTCTTGCATTTTGCAATCCGGGATTGGGGCTGCACTCAACGATTCGAATTCTACCGTTTGATCTGGCCTTCGACGGGATGTTCCTTATGGACACTATCATACGTCTGTTCACTGTAGTGCCTGCAGGAACATATCCTGAGCAAGACTTTGAAATCGATAGATTCGAGATGATCTTGATCAATTACATGTATCATGACTTCGCCATCCAGTGGCTACCTGTCATTGCCTTCTACGTGAGTTATCCCTTGTATGTGCAAGCTTCATGTCTTGATTGATTGTTGCAGATCGTCGACTTCAGCATTCCAAACGATCTCAGGTGGATGATAATTTGGTGGATCGCCGCTATCCCACGGCTGATAGTCCGGACCATGAGACTCTGGAGATATTTCAAAGCAATGACCATCAACCTTGACAACGATGTCCAGAAGTTGCAGTCCTTCAAGGTTGGCCTGGTTGTTCTTCTCTCGTCTCACTGGGTCGGATGCATCTTCTACTGGATTGCAAGGATTCAAAAATTCGCTCCTGATACTTGGGTAAAATTTACTTGTGTGGTCGGAGTATTGTTTGTTCTGATTCCAGCGTTTAGATCTATCACTTTGAGGAAATTGTTCCTCTTTTTGATCTCCATGCCAACATACCTGTGAATGATTACATTTTGTGCTTGTAAGTATCAACACTTGGCCTGCATTGCATCAGGGTCATATGATTCATGTGTGATTGCACAGGTACAAGGGTTTGAATGCACTATCTACACTTGGATACGATGTTGGTCTGCCCAACAACCTGGCGGAGATTCTTGGCGCTCTTCTAGTGATGATCTTACAAGTGCGATCCTCCTCGTTTGCCTCATGGTTCTCACCTTACATGCCCCTCAGATCTACCTGCAAGGTTTGATCCTCGGAACTCTGCTCAACTACCTAGTCAAGAGAAACCCGACCGAGGAGGCGCACAAAGAGCACATTGCTCAAGTCACGCAATTTCTTACGGCCAAGTTGGTGCCGGACGAGCTTCGAGAGAATGTCATCGCCTACTTCGAGTTCCAGTACAAGAAGAACATGCAGAACCAGGCGCAGAGCTTGATCAAGCTCCCCCGCTCTCTCAAGATCAAAGTAGCGGACGCCAACTACAGCGGGCTGATTGAAAAGTGTGCTCAGCGAGGAAAACCGATGCAAGGTTGCAATGGGCAATTTCTTCACGTGCGATATGCTCTTTTCTTGATCCCTTTGCTCATACTCCTCGCAGGCGTTCATGACCAAACTGCGTCCTGTGTATTGCATGCCGGGCGAAGCGATCGTGCAGAGAGATGAGGTGAGTTGAAAACATCAGACGTCTTGTTCTCTTAGATGGATGCCAGATTGCAAGAGAGCTGTACCTCGTACAAGAGGGCATAGTTCACATCTTCGACGATGAGGATAAAATGATCGGAGTGATCAGGAGCGACGTCCCTGACATGGCGCCCCTCGTGGGAGAGGTTTGGCACGTAGGAGAGGTCGAGCGAGTCTCATTGCTGCATCCAGGTTGCCTTCTTTCTCGGCATCAACTACGTCACCACCATCAAGGCCAGACTGGACGGGGACGTGCAGCTGCTGGTCCTGAAGAAGGAGGACAGCATTGAGATCTTCAATAACTACCCGGAGGAGCAGCTGGTGATCAACGACAACATCCTTAGGACCTTCGACCTCGACATTGACGGTCTGCCCATCAGCGGGAGCGAAGAGGACGCAAACGACAAGCTCAAGATGGAGACTAAGAACAGGATCACGGACTCCCTCAAGCTCAGGTCCCAGCAGAGGTTCTACTCCCTCTGCAGCTCGGTTGCAGCTGGGGATGCCGACACTGTCAAGATGCTGATCCGCCAGGGTGCAGATCTCAACGAAACTGATTACGACAAGCGAACTGTCCTCCACATGGCGTGTGCGGAAGGAAACTACAAGATTGTCGAGGTGAGATGAAACTTTCACATGCTCGCATCTCAAGAATGACTGCGAGCACAGATGCTACTGAACTATGGGGCAGACAAGAATTGTAAAGATCGCTGGGGCAACACCCCCTTGCAGGAGGCGATCAATAACAAGCATGCTACTGTCATCAGCCTCCTGACCCAGTGGAAGGCAGAGCTGGGCCTCGACAGCGCGGCCTTTGCGCTGTGCGCTGCAGCTGGGGTCGGAGACATGCAGCAGGTCAAACGGCTCATCGAAAACGGCGTCGACCCCAACCTGGGCGATTATGACTTCAGGACAGCCCTGCATGCCGCCAGCACTTCTGGACACGACAAGGTGGTAGAGTACCTGCTGAGCCAGAAGGCCAACCCGAACCCAGCAGACAGGTGGAAGGGAACTCCTCTGCAGGACGCGCTGCTGAACGGGAACGCGCTGGTGGCGGCTCTGCTCAAGGCAAAGGGAGGGCTGATGCCCGAGGACGTGGGAGTGGAGGAGATGTGTACTGCCACGAGCAAGGGAGACGTGAGGAAGATGAGGCTGATGCACGACTACGGGATCCCTACTGACGTCGGTGACTACGACCATCGATATCCTCGTGAGTGATTGAGGAGGAGGGGAGAAAGATAGAAATATGCTAGGGAGGAGGGGTGGAGACAGCGGAGGGAGGAGAGGAGATGCTGGTGACGAGATTGTACACAGTCCATCTGGCGGCAGCAGAAGCAAGAGTCCTTGCGGTCAGCTTCCTCCTTGGAGTCAGCGCAGACCCGTGCAGCAAGGATCGATGGGAGGGAACGCCGCTGGACGACGCGCTCAGAGGAGGAACTCTCTACCACCACTACTGCGGCAAGCTCATCCAAGGTCCTCCGCTCCTCTCCTCTGTCGCTGATCCTCCTCTTCTTCTGTCGCTGAAGCTCTGTTCCAGGATGGGGAGGCGAGCTGGGGATTTACAAGGACACCGAGGAGGGGAGGAAGTTTTTGACAGCGCTGGACGAGATCTCGATCCAGGAGGTGAGAGTGCTGATCAAGAGGTTGATAGACAAGGGCTTCGACAAGACCTCCCCCAACAGGCAGAGCGAGGAGGACATCAAGGTCACCTTCGGGGCCAGTGTAGAGCACCTTTCAGTGGCGCATGAGCTCAAGGCGGAGGTGGGCAAGACGTCGGAGAAGCTGGAGGCGATCTCCAGCAAGATGCAGTCGTCCCTTGAAGACCTCAAGGCGGTGCTGGAGCAGCTGCTGGACCCTCCCAAGGCCCAGCAGAAGCTCCAGAGATCGCACTCGGAGGTCCAGACGCACACGACGTCCCAGGAGGACCTCGGGCTCTACCACGGTTGGGACTGGAAGCAGAACCAGGAGGCGAGCAGGAGGCAAACCAACCACGTGCCATCGCTGAAGACGAGCAAAAGAAAGTCGTCCTCCTTCGACCTCGTCAGCATCTGCCAACTGCCAAGCAAGGTGCTCAAGGAATGCAGGCACATGCTCGAAGACGTGGACTACAGGGTCGATGAGGACCCTGCCTTCGAGCTCGACGGTGCGCTGGACTCGGACGAGGAGATGGCGCTGTACGAGGAGCTGGACGAGCTGCTGGAGGCGCAGGAGAGGACGTTCAAGCAGGGCGTGAGGTGGGAGAAGCTGTCGGCCGGGATCTTTCGGAGGATCGCGCTGAGGATCGTGGAGAACGAGATTTCCTTCGGCATCTTTCTGCGCCTCTTCGACAATGCGTCAAGAGACCCCTACGTCGCGCCCTCTGACCTCACCCGCGCCCTTGAGAGCCTGGGGGTCCCGCAAGGGTTCGAGCTAGACGACATCTACACGGAGGTAGAGAAGTTGGAGAAGGACAGCAGCCGAGCTCCGCCGCACTCCCACGAGGTTGTTTCCCATCACCCGCACAGCAAGGTCTACCCCCTCTCCATGTTGGTGGCAAGCAGCGCAAGGCTGAGGAGGATGATCATAGAGCTGGAGGTAGACGACGTGCTCTGCCTGCTGATGAACTCTTCCCTGTCTCAAGTGTTCTCCGAGGAGACGGCAAGGAGCATACTGGCCAAGAGCTTCATCCGGAGCTACACGGAAGGCCAGCTGATCCTCAAGGGAAGCAACGACAAGAACAAGCATCTCATCGTGGTGCTTAGCGGAGAAATCCTTCCCTCCTGGGACTGCAAGGAGGGTCTGGGCGAGCTGGAAATGGAGGTGCTGGACAGTCCAGCTGAGGTCCAGGTGGGCTGGAGCAAGAAGGGTGAGGATAAGGAGTTTGAGCAGCTGCAGCTAGGGCAGGGCAACTACTTCGGGTCGTACCAGGCGATCACTGGGAAGGGATCCTGCCTGACTGTGAAGTCCAGGAAGATCACGAGCTTGCTCTACATACCCATCAAGGACTTGCTGCACCTGCTAGTTGCCAAGAGCGAGGAGGAGCAGAAGAACTTCCTCTCTTACTCCGTTGAGTCCATCCTGAACCCCGACCCCACCCTCGACATCCATTGCGAGATCCACTACGACAACGTCCCCTCGATCTCGAGGACGCACTCCAGCGCGGAGCTGCAGCATGACTCGAAGATCCAGCTGCAGCACAAGATGAAGTCGATGGGAAACGTGCTGTTCAGCAGCAAGTTGGAGCACGAAGGCAGCACGAGGAGGATGCCCATCACTGTGCCGGAGACTGACAGGCAGAAACTTCGGGACTTGTTCAAGGGCATCGACGAGCTGTGGAAGGCCATGTCGTTGGGGTCCAAGAGCGTTCAATCCTCACAGGCAAGAACGATCGAGAACTACACGGGAGAGTCTGGAGCCGCTTGCTTCAGGGAGGTGTTCCACACGCTGTGGGAGGAGGGGGAGGCCAAGGAGGTTCTGAACAGCCAGCACTACTGGTTGTCGTGGGTCGAGTTCTTGAGAGGAGACGCGTTGAGAGGAGAAGAGGCGCAGCCCGAGGAGGCAGCGAGCACCGAGCATGCCGGGAGCTCTTCGTTCCTCAGGGCAACACGGTGGGGCCGCTTCGACAGGCTGCGGGGGATGTTCGTGTGGAACAGAAGGCTGAGCGAGGAGTTTCTCAAGGCAGATCTCAAGGTGTGGGAAGGAGAGTTCATCAAGGTGACAGGCGGAGTTGACAAGCCCCTGCTGTCCTCCGATGTCAGGAGGTTCATCAAAGCGGTCATGGTCGATTATCCTCATCGGATCACCAACTACAACTGTGAGGAGTTTGTTCTGCTCTTCGCCAAGGACAACGTCACAGACCCCAAGATACAGTGGCAGGAGGTCATCAAGGTGTGTTCAAACCTGTAACTGTTGTTCGCACTCTGTTTCTTCCAGTCACATGTTTTCATCATATTTCTCCCTTTACCTCCTGACTTCTCGCAGGTCGTCCGAGAGTCCAAGAGCTGCGTGGATCGCAACGACATCTTCATCCGCACCGCCATCAACCCCTACACGCCCTCCTTCGCTCTCTGGAACCTCCTCATGCGCCTCGTCGCCCTCTACGAGTTCATCGCCGTCCCTGTCCGGATCGGCTTCGAGCCCTGGCCGGGCATGCTTGCGCCCGAGGCTCTCAGCACAGACCTCCTTGCTGACTGCTTCGTGATGACGCACATGATAGTCAACCTCAACACCGCCTACAAGAACAGCCGGTCCCAGTGGGTCACCAGTCGGCGGAAGATCTTCCGCAAGGCTGACTTCACCTGCATGTTTGCTGCCTTCCCTCTCGACTGGTTCGCCTACGTCTGCGGAGCCTCAGAGCACCTTTGCTCCTGGCTGCGCATCAACAAGATGTTTCTCGTGTTCTCAAGAGTCTTCGACACCTACGACAAGACCTTTGCCATCAAGACCAAGTGCACCAGCGACCTCCTCTGCAAGCTCGCTCGCATCATTCTTGCTACATGCCACGTTCTCGCGTGCGTTTGGTTCTTCATCGGTGAGAACTATCGCTACTGGTTCCCCAATGCAGCCATTAGTTGGTACTGGGTCGATCCCGCCTATCAGAACATGACATTTGTGCGTCAACACTTCTACGGCATGTCGCCGGACTCGAGCACGTGGCAGCGATACGTCATCTCCTTCTACTGGGTGTGCGCGACCTTAAGTATGAACGGGATGATAGGAGATCTCATACCCCAGAACATCGTCGAGATTGTCTTCACCATCGTACTCATGTGCCTTAACATGACTCTGTTCCGCATTCTTGTCGGCGAAGTGTCGACGATCGTGATGAAGGAGGACCAGGACGTCGTGAAGCGACGTGAGAACCTCGAAACAATCAGCTCCTTCCTCTCCAACGAAAAGTTCACCGCCCAGCTCAAAGAGGAGATACAGCGTCACTTCAGCACCATGGAGATCGGAGTGTCGCAGGACCAGGCAGTCCTGCTGCGGGACCTGAACCACAACCTCCGTGTCGAGGTAGCAAAGCATCTGTACAAGGAGTACATCGAGACCATCCCGCTCTTCGACGGCTGCAGCGAGAACCTCCTCGACGGCACCTGTATCCTCCTGCACGAGATGCACTACTACCCTGAAGAGTACCTCTTCAACGTCTCCGAAGGTGAACCCCTGTCGCTGCTCCTTGACCCTCCTGACTTTCCCTCTTAGTCTGCACGGAGATGTTCTTTGTTGTCTCGGGGGTGGTGGAGGAGATCGACCTGCAGGCGGATGGCACCGAGCAGGTTCAGTCCCTCCGACGAGCCTACCAGTCTGTCGGCGATCTACCATTCTTCTTCGGCATCCGCCACTTCCTCAGCGGCAGAGCCTCCCATGATGGCGCTGTTTGCATGCGGCTGGATCGGCAGGGGTTCTTCGAAATGCTCAAGAACTTCCCCAAGGACGAGGAGGTGATCGCACAGAACGCGTTCAAGAGCTTCGACGTAGTTGCCAAGTCCAAGACAGGAGGGAGCAGCAGGCACTCGAGCTCCAAGAGGAGCGCAAACTCGTCGGTAAGGAGCTCCAACTCCACGTCCCGCAGGAGGAGGAGGAAGAACGCGCGAGCCAAGGACGAGACTCAGTCGGCGCACGCGCAGTCGAGGGGGTCGGAGACGATGCCGTCGGCGAGTGTGGAGAACTCCTCGCAGGAGGAGAACTCGGACGAGGAGGACACGGCAGACAACAAGATCGAGAAGCTGAAGGATCAGAGGAAGCGAGACAGGCTCAACCTCCTCCTCGACGCTGCCTTCCTGGGCGATGTCCCCAAAGTCAAGACGATCCTCGCCAGCGGCGACATCAGCATCCTCGATCACGATCAGAACAAGCGAACAGCTCTCCACGTCGCCGCGAGCGAAGGGCACCACGAGCTCGTCCACCTGCTGCTCGAGCTGCGCGCAGATGCTAACGCCAAAGACAAGTTTGAAAACACGCCGGTCAACGATGCCGTGAGAACCAAACACGACAAGGTCATCGACGTGATTCGGTCGCACATGAAGAGCATCAGGTACAGCCTGCCTGGCAGTCAAGTTGGCGTCGAGCTCTGCGAAGCTGCGGCGACAGGGAACCTCGAGCAGATCACCCGCCTGCTCAACAATGGCGTCAACGTCAACGAGGCGGACTACGATGGCCGCACAGTGAGTCAACTTTGATCATCTCCAATGCAACTGACTGATGGTCCTTCTTGTCCTCCAGGCCCTGCACCTCGCGTGCTGTGAAGGTCATCTGCATGCCGTAGAGAGTCTGCTCAAGGCTCAAGCCAACGTGCACTGTCAAGATCGGTTCACCGGCACGGCCCTGGAAGACTCAGTTCGCCATCACTTCAACAACAGGACCTCTACCCAGATCCAGGAGCTGCTGCGCAAGCACGGCGCTTCTCTCGAGCACAAGATGCAGGAGTATGCAGCAAAGATGTGCTTCTACGCGAGCCAAGGCATGCTGGACAACATCAAGATCCTCGTTGAGAACGGCATCGCAGTCAACGTGGGCGACTACGACAGCCGCACGCCTCTGCATCTCGCAGCCTCGACGGGCTGGACGTCAGTGGTGGAGTACCTAGTGAGGCGGGAGGAGATCAAGATCAACCAGACGGACAGGTTCGGCTCCACCGCCCTCGACGACGCAATGCGCCACGGAAAGAAGAGCGTCGCAGCCATGCTGGAGGAGTTCGGGGGGCTGAGCAAAGACAACCCCAAGTTCCAGTCAGTGAAGGCAGCGATGCGAGACGTGGAGGAAGAGCATAAGGAGAAGCTCGCGCTCAAGGAGAAGATCTCGGTACTGGTGCAGAACAGCCCGGAGACAACGGCCCTGCGCTGGGTGAGGGACGTCCTGCAGCACAAGATCACGAGCTCCAGCAACGAGATCGAGCCTCTCGTGCGGCGCATCATATGGGTCGTGAGAGGGCTGCAGTCCAGGGCGACCATGGACGATGGTCACTTTGTGATCTCCTGCTCTGAAGCCATGTGCGAGCGAGCGATCAGCCTCTGCGATGAGCTGAAAGCGGCGCTGGGCTCGACCCGGTCGTCTCTGTTGGAGGAGGACAACTCCCTTGGGCCCATCCACTGCAAGCTGTGGACGTCTTACAACCAGACGTACAAGACACGGGCGGAGGAGATGAAAAGAACTCTGTGCCAGTTTGCCAAAGTAGCTCGGGTGATCAGAAAGACTGCAAAGGAGATCACAAAGGCGTTGCGGCGAGCGGTACAAAACTCGTCGCACTGAGTGGTGCTGGATGGTGCAGACAAGAGAAGGAGGGAGGAAAGCGAGCTTGTTAAATATACACAGTAAACCTAAAGTAAAGTAAGCTTCAAGTGAAGGACAAACTATCCATCTTCATTCTCTTTGTTTTCGTGCTATCCATAAATCAACCAGTTCACCTGATACGATCTGTTATCGCTTTTCTCGAAGTCGCTAATGGGACTCAAAGCATCTTCCTATGCTGATCCCCTCCTCTCTCCTCCTACATCACGGCTCGTGTCTCCTTGTTGAAGTTCTTACCCACATTCTCGATACTCCCCTAGCGCCTATTCTCAACCATTTTCTGCACGTTCCAAACGCCTCCTCCTTTCAGAGAGTCAAGAGGAGAATGACAAGAGGAGAAGGACATAGGTTACTGATCACCGAAACCGATTTGTTTGATGCTGCTGGATGCTGTCACCCGAACCTTCCCGATCGATCCTCCCCTCCTAATCTACTCTCTTTCTCCTCCTTCTCCCACTCCCCTCCCCCCTCCTCCTCCTCCTCTTCCACTTCGTCCGCCCATGCTGCTTGTAGAGAGCATCCTTGACATGATCTTGCCCGATTAAACCACCCCTACCCCTCTGACAAGGCTTATAGCAGCCCACCCCTTTGACTTCTTCCCACCCGCGTCCATGGAATGGTTACTATCGACCAGACGCGGACGTTCGTTCGGCGAGGTGAAGAGAGGAGGACGAGAAGGTGAGCACGAAGAGCAGGAGCAGGAGCAGGAGCAGGAGCAGGAGCAGGAGCAGGAGCAGGAGCAGGAGCAGGAGCAGGAGCAGGAGCAGCAGAATTAAGTTATTTGATCGCGTCTCACTTTGTGCAGATGTCGAGAGTCTGTTCCTCCGAAGCCACTTGGACACCCTTGAAGCCACTGATGACGGATTGGACGGAGAAATCACCGAGTTTGCCGACCTTGAGACCTTGATCGACCGAAAGTTGCTGCAAATCGCTTCTTCATGTCAGGAGGAGGAGGAGGAGGAGAAAGTCGGCACCAATGAGCTCTACATTCACTCGACGGTGTACGGGGGTTCTCTCAGGACGAGCCACCGGGGCTCCGTGCTTGAGAGCCATGACGACTTCGTATCGGCCAAGGTGAAGAGCAGCGTCTCTCAGGGCTCGTGGATGTATGAAGTCACTCTGCACACCGGCGGGCTCTCTCAGATCGGCTGGGCAACCTCCCGGTGCAGGTTCACGAGCATGATAGGGGTGGGAGACACGCAGGGGTCCATAGCCTATGATGGGCATCGGACGTTCCGATGGAACAACAAGAGTTTCGCTCAGTACGGACTGCCGTGGGCGTGCGGGGACGTCGTAGGATGCTGCATCGACCTGGACGCAGGTGTCGCATCCTTCACGCTCAACGGGGTGAATCTGGGAACCGCCTTCACCTCTCTGAGGAGGACGTGCTACAGTCCTGCCGTGAGTGTCGCGTACGGGGAGAAGATCAGCGTCAACTTGGGGTCTAGCCCCTTCCAGGTCCAGGGAGATTGTGTGGCAGATCCTGACTGACTCGTCGGCAGTTCCCTCAGGCTGGCTTCAGGGCTCTCTGCAGGCAGCCGAGGACAAGTCTGCAGCAGCAGCACGACTACATCTGGCGGTCAAGCATGAAGTTCGCGCTCAGGAGCATGAACCCGGCTTCCTGCTTCACTAGCGCGCAAGAGGCCTGTGCGACCTTGTACGAGGATGCATCGGACGATGTTGAGGACTCGTCTAGGTCAGTATGGAGGGAGTCTTGTGCCTGCAGTGCTGAGGCTGGAGCAGGAGCAGGAGGCTGTGGAGGGCTGGCTCCTCCCCTTCGGACATGTCGGTGCTCTTCATGCACTTGCTCCTCTCCAAGATCTTCAGCGGGAAGCTCGACTCACATCACATCACCTTCAGCGTCAGGAGATACTTGTTCAAGCACCTCGTTGCCCTCTGCGCAAGGGAGCCCAACGGGCTTGGCGCTGCGGCCTACGTGATAGGGTTGATGTCTGTCCTGCTCTCTCCGCAGGACTCTAGAGTCCTCTGGCCTTCCTTGCTGGAAGTTTGCGCAGAGCAGGCAAGATACAGCTCCTTGCGCTGGGGTACAGCTGGGGGGGTTCAGGGTGACAGACCGCTGGAGGTGACGGAGGCACAGACATGCGAGTTCAGTCTTGCTATCTTGTACATCCTCCTCAGGAACAGGATTACCCGGGAGGTCCTGATGGGTCACGTCGAGAGTCTTTGTGCCAACCTTGAGGTGGCAGCGAGCGAACGCGTTGACGTGCAGCTGACGTGCCGGGGCAGGACGCGATGTCGTACCGAGAATTCTCTGAGACGTCGCTGGAGCACCTTCCGCCCAGCAAGGTCTGCGCCAGCAGCACCACACGGCTCTTGACGCTCTCTCGCAGATTCTCTTTCAACTGATGACCGACGAGGTTCACAAACTCGAGGTTTCTGGTACCAACCTCTTGCTGCCATGACGCTTCCCTTGCAGGTCACATGGAAGGAGATCTTTGAGCTGATACCGCAAAGCATCCGATCCCGTTGGATGCTGTCCCTTGTTGCCAGGAACAGACAAGCTGAGGCCTCCGTGGTTCCGCCAGGAGTCACGAGGACGTTCCTGTCGGTCAACACGTTCTTCATCTTTCTTGCAAGGTCTCTAGACCAGCTCGACCAGACCAGTTGGACAGACAAGCTGTACCGGCTGGTGAACTTCTCTGACAAGAACGCGTTTTACCTGTATGGAAACATTCATGTTGATGTCTCGCTCTTGGGAGGGACAGTGCAGTATGTCACTAGAACTTACGGATCGAACGATGACGTTGACGTGGAAGAAGACGAGGTTGTGTTAGAGTTTCGCCGCGTGCTGCTCTACTTTATGTTTCGGATTCAAAGCAAACTCCAGCAGGCGCTATGTTCACATCCTTTGTTCTGCGGCTCTGACGTTGGCGTCATCAACCCTGTCTTCATGGAGGCCCAGGATCAAGACACTATGAACCACAAGAAGAGTATCGTGTGTTGTACCACTACCTTCTCTCCTCGGAACAGTCTGCTCATCTTGCGATTTTTCAACCTTCTGATCGATGCGCTGAACTCGCTCATTCAGGTGATGACAAAAAGTTGCCCAAGCTCCCCCTGCCTCTTCCTTCTGTGACTTGTGTTCTCCATCGCTTCCCTTCCCCTTCCCATCACCATCCGACTGCGATCGCAGACTCGTCGTTCATCGCTCTACTTCGTTCCTGAGGGCCTCCTGCTTGCTACTCTCAGCCTGATGATTGCTCTTGCCAAGGTATCTTGTTGTCGACACGCTCAGGACCTGACAAGATTTCAGGTCCAGGGAAAGCAGTTCTTCAAACGTCAAGGTGGCTGCCTGTTTGCAAGGCTAGCTAACCGCTCTAACTCTTGGTGAAGGAGGAGCAGTTGAGACGGTCATCAGAATTCTAGTCGAGTGCATCAGTGATAGAATGATCATCAACCCCGATGTCAAGGCAAGCATCTTGGCCGCCATGTCTTTAGTGATGAAACATTCGGCTGATCTCGGTACTGTTCTCGCCTCTTCCCCTGATGCTCTCTTGACCGCGTCTTGGGCATCAGAACTCTTCCAGACGGACATGGACGGGCGGGCCGAGTGCCCAGGGGAGAAGTCGAGGACTTCACTCAAGTTCGAGCTGTTCCGATCGCTGCTAGAGTCCTTTGACGACAAGAACTGGGTGCCAACGCTGAGAATCTTGCGGGAGGTATGGGAGGGAACTGCGATGAGTCAGCGGTTGAAGACTTCTTCCTTTGCGAACCATCACGACAAGAGCACGACATTGGGGTTCGGCCATGACAGCTGCAGCTCCCTAACAAGGTCGTTCGTTCACGTGGCCTCAAAGGCGGATCATCTGGAGACCTGGCAAAACGTGATCGATCGAATTGTGACGAAGTTGAATTGGTCAATCTCAGAAGCGACTGGTAGGTTGACTGGTCAGATTTGCGCCTTGTCACGCTGTCGCTGCAGGAACGGTGAACGAGATTAGGAACAGCAACGCGAGAATGCTTCTTCAATCGTCATACATTGAACCTGAGGTAGAGGCTGTCCTACCTCTTGCCTTCCCCTCCCTTCCCTTGATGCTGTTGGCAGAATCGTGTCCTAGAGGCTCTTGAAATTCAGAACTTGACGCTGCAAAAAGTGAGATGGAGTGATGACGCAGCAGGAGTTGTCTTGCTGAATTTGGGTTCTACTCAGATGAGGAAAATAGAGGTCATGTCAGAGCTGTCGAGAGATCTCCTTTTAGCGCTTGAATTCTCTTGCAACTTCTTCCCGCATGTGGTTTCCAGTCTATCCGATGTCATGCTTCAGAGGGTTGTAGATAGTCTTTTGCATTTCCTTTCATTTGTAGGTGAGTCCATTCCACCGATGAGGGATTTTTTACTGACAAGTATGAATGCTTCAGATAACGAGTGTACAATGTTTCAGGTCTGAAAGTTACAAACCTCTTTCTTTCGAGTTTTGATTGCAGATGCAGTCTCTTAACAACGTCCCGGTCTTGCAAGAAAGAGACTTCAAGTCTCTGAGACAAAGCGACTTCCTTCTTCCCGTGTTGGGTTCGATTTCAGCTTTACTCTTCAATCAAACTACGTTCAAGTCCTCTCAAGGTGAGGAGCTTCATCATCGTGCTGTACTGAAAGTCGTCCGCAAGTCCTTGACTTGGACTCTGTCTCTCAACGCAACCTGCTGGTACGTTTCTCATCTTTCTCGCTCTTCTTCCTCAATGATCCATTCTCAGGCCATCGTGACATCTGCAGCGTTTGTTTCTTCAAGATTCGACAGGTTGTGCAAACTTTCGTGGATCAAAGAAGACAAGTCCATCCTGGGTATCGCCCGGCACAAGCATGTCGCTTACAGCAAGCAAGCTGTCGCCTACGTCGGGGACCTCAGCAAGATCATTCAGGACACTCTTTGTCGAGGCTCTAAAACATCCTCCATCGTTCACGTCGAGGTTTCAAGATCTGCTCTTGAAACACAAGTGATTCTGCTCTCAGGATGATGCCGATATTCCCGAGAGGTTTCTTGACCCCTTGACCTTCTCTCTCATGCGAGATCCTGTCACACTGCCGGCGTCAGGACAGGAAGGAAGTATGTACGTGTTTGCTGCCCCTGACCTCCTTCCTGCAGACTGTGGATCGTCGAACGATCCTCCAGCACCTTCACGTCTCTGGTGCCCTTGATGATCCCTTCAGCAGAACTCCGTTGAACGAGAGCATGTTAGCCCTTTCTCCTCTAGCTGGCAAGAGATTTACTGTGGACTCAGGCTGGTCCCCAACGAGTCGTTGAGGAAGGAGATCGAGAGCTGGCTGATGTCGCACGGGCGACGTTGATCGTTGCTGTTCCATCTCAACCTTCAGATTGGCGAACGAGTCAGGATGCTGAGAGCAAGGAGAGCTGGTAAGAGGGCACGTTCATGGATGGTCGAAGCAGCTCCTGTTAATGTGGCCCCGAGGCAGTTGAAGCAACAGCTGTCGATGCCAGTGGAGGCAGGGAAGGTTGTGTTGAGACTGTACGGACAGTCTTGGCAGTATGACTTTCCCAGCTCTATCAGGACAAGTCAGTGCTGTAAAGTTGACAAAAACACACAAATGACCTGATTGGAATGTTCCCAGCTCACAGGGCAGACATGGTTCGAATCCCGTGCTGCTATATGTACCTCTGCGGCACAGTTTGAGGCACAAGCTTGCACTAGAAGCTCCTTCCTGCTCTGAGCGTGACCAGAGATGGCAAGAAACATGCGACTTCACCATGCTCGTGCTGTACCCAGGGGGACAAAACTGGCAGAGGCCACTTCCTCTGGTCTCCTGCGAGGTAGTTAGAACCTCCTTGCTCTCTTTGCGCTTGCCTTGTAAGTTCCACGTGGGCATGGCATGCAGGGAGCAGGCAGTTTCTCGCCGCACGTCAGCTTCCCGCCCGCCACCAAGAATCCGCAGAAGCCCGCCTCACATTCACATCTCCCCGTTGACGCACATCTTGCAAACAAATGACCTTGTGCCTCCCCTCTGACTCTTCACCTTGAGTTCTCATACGTAGCTTCCTTGTATCTGCAATTCCACCTAGACATTGAGTCATTCTCCTCCTTGCCATCTCGAGCGTCGGTTACTCCTTCAGCGAGCAGTTGGATGGGTTCAGATCGTATGCTGCTATACAGCATGTCGCCGAGCAGCTTGAGCCGCAGCTGAGGCATTGGAGAGTCATTGCAATCGTATCCATGATGGCCAAACCTTGAGGAACAACCGCAACGTCCATCGCATGACACGATCTTCTGTCCCGACGGCCCTGAGCACTCTGATGTGCAGTGAGACGAGATTGTGCTGAAACATGAAAGTTCGTCACATGTCACTCGTGGAACAACCAGAACAACCTCACACAAATAGCGTCTGCCATTCTCATAGCATCGGCACATCGAGGGACAACGAAGACCCCGTCGGGCTCGAATGAGCATGAGGAGACATCAGGAGCAAGACCTCGGGCAACTGGCCTCTCTGCCAGGAGAGCAGCATACCACAACCACATGCGTATTCCCTTCATCCTCCACATTTCTCATGCGGCAGCCTCAACTTTGACCTCAGGCGCTCGGAGACCGTAGGAGTGTCACAAGGGCAAGTACTTGGTGGGCAACCAGGTAGAGAAGATAGCGAGGAAGGGGAGCGAGGGAGATAGGGAGCAGGCGGAACAGATCAGCAGGGGAGGGGAAGGAGCAGGGGAGGGGAAGGAGCAGGGGAGGGGAAGGAGCAGGGGAGGGGAAGGAGCAGGAGAGGGGAAGGAGCAGGGGAGGGGAAGGAGCAGGAGAGGGGAAGGAGCAGGGGAGGGGAAGGAGCAGTAGCCTGGAGCAGTAGGAAAGCAGGAGGGCAAGGAGGTCCGACCGCTTTATTTTTGCGAGTCGTAAAAGGACCACTAAATAGGTGTTGTATTCGAGGCTTATTAGCTTGTGCTGGAGTTTGATTGACTGCATACGGATACATTTGCAAAGATAGAGAGGTTAGTAGGTATGATGCCATTCCGAAGATGTTTGTGAGGGAATGAGGGTTACAGTTGTTTGCGGTCGAGCTAACGGATGAGATACCAGAACATGTAGAGGAATTACTTGCTGGCTGACGCCTTGCGCCCTCTGCTTCTCTTCGCTGGTTTCTGGTCTGCAGCTGATGTGCTTGACAAGCCTCTCTTAAGATCTTCTCGATCTGCAGGCAGAGACTCGTTGGTTGCAGCGAAGGTCGAGTTGAGCAGCGTCGAAGCCTGAGGTGTAGTCTTCTTGGGGCTGAAGAACATATCGAGCTTGCCTTGGGGCTTCACCATCTTGGCTTTCTTGATCGCTTCAAGCCCTCCTCTCACTCTCTTCTCGCTGAAACCTTTCTCCTTCACAAGAAACTCTATCAAGCCCTCTTCGTCGGGTTCGGCATTCCAATCTATGCTGAGATTTCCCATGTCGACTACCTCAGGTGTAGTCAGCAGCTGTCGGATCTCATCGATGGGGAAGGGGTCAGGGACCACGAACTTGCTCGTGTTCAAACTCTCGATGAAGCTCTCGATATTTCCATGCTTGCGTATCCCGTGTAAGGCTGACTTCGGCCCGATCCCTTTGATAGTCTCAGAAAAGTCACATCCGCACAAGATGCAAAAATCTACAAATTGCGTCATATTGAGGCCCAAACTGCTGAGAACCTGGTCTAGATGATACTCAAGAACAGGTAATTTCCTCGCTTCCGACATGGTGAGCCTTCGCACGAGGATCGGAGAGCCGCAGCATAGCGCATCCATGTCCTCAGTCGCTGATGCATAGACCAACCCATTCTTAGCCAGAGCTGCACATTGAGCTTCGGCTTCTGAAGGTGCGTCAACCGTCGGAACTCCTAGCAGTCTCAGGAGCCGTTTACACTCTTCAGCATGCTGTTTGGTGACACGAGTTGTTCGTTTCGCAAACTTGTTCATCTCCTCAACATTCCCTTCTTCAGTGGCTTCTTGCAGCCTCTTGGCGCCCTCGTCCCTCCGGAGGTTTCGAGATGCGATTTCACCGGACTTCAACGATGGCGGCTTTCCATCGAACACGTAGAGAGGACGGATACCTGCCTTGACCATGGCTATGGTTCTCCAGAAGAATCCTTGAAGATGACTTGTCTCTTCCCCGCTGGCTGATGTTAGAGGCTGAGCTACACCATTCTCACCAGTTGAACGAACTGCAATGAGAAACTGATACATCGCCATGCTCGCGTCTATGGCGAGCTTCTTTCCTTGGAAATCTTGAAGAGAACGCTCCTTGAGACATCCTGGCGCCTCCTTGGCAAGGAAAGGACCAAGGCCATGGATCCCACCATCTGATGACTTGAGACAAGAAAGAAAGGTAGTGAAGAAGAAGAAGTAGTATACCAATGCTTGTCGATGAGACATGAGAAGTGAAGGTCTAGTTACGGTAGACAAGAAGCACCGTCATCATCGACTCCAAGCATTCTTCCCATCCAGCTCAAGTTCCCCTATTCGCACAACACGCCCCATATTCAAACTTTTGAAACTACTAGTGACCTGGACTTCTGAGGGCCGACTCGGAGTCCGATCCGGGCCGCAGGGCGGCCGGGCCCGGGGCCGGGCCGAACCGTTCACTGAAGCCTGCCAACACTGTCACGGTGACACGTGGGCTCGTGACTGACCAACACAGACTTGTCCGGCGGAAATTCCCAGTCCCCGGAGCTGCTGACTTAGGGTGAACTTAGCGGCGGCCCCCAGGCTCGTTGGCCCAATGGGCCCGGGCCGGGCCTCTGAGTCCGATCTCACTGAGTCACCGGGCCTTGAAGGCCCTGGCCGCGCAGCAACGGACGGCGGCGCCGGGGCCGGGGCCTTTTGCCATGATTGAACTTTAGAAGGTTATGAGCCTCATAGCAGTCTCCTGTACGGTACTTGAGGTGTCATCCGGCAACTGAAGCCAGACCGTTCGAGGTTGGGTGGCCCGGGGGGTCGATGGGATCATGATGAAGGGGTGGGGGTAGTTAGACCAGGGTCAGGAAGGGAGCGTATCAGGTAGAAATGGGGGTAGTCGAGGTCAATATGAAAAATTGATGACGGGGTCATGGGTGGTGAATATAGCACTGTACCTCCTCCCTGTAACGAGGGCCCGGTGGGTGGTGGTGAAAGGGTGAAGGTCGATCATGGCGGTGGCGGCGAGACGGTTGACATTGCGAGGAGGAGGTGAGGGAGGCGTTGATGATGGATATGGATCGAGCTCCTGTCAGTGTCATGCTTCCAGACATGTTGATGGAAACAGAGATGTTGATGTGTGTCTCTGCCACAAGAGGACAAGTAACAGGTCTTGCAGTCCTCCTCGTCTTGATTGGCATGGCTGAGTCGTACATGACAAATTATGTCTGCAACACTTCATATGAGCTGGTCGAGAAGCAAAATCTGTCACGAACAGCGGAACCTGGCAAGGTCCTAAAAGATTTCTTCTCGTTGTCTGTTTCTTACATCCAGTTGTAAGGTTGAATTTTTCTGCAAAGACTATGTGAATTATACTGCGGTCTGTGATACGGGGATCGATCCAAATCTCGGTTTCAATCCCAGTTGCAACAACACCTTTGCCATACAGGTACTTGCTGATGTCGTTGTTCGAGACCTGCTGAGTGCTGATTGAATGTACTCTTATCAAGGTGTTTGCAAACCTTCAGCGAGCCCTCAGCGTCTACAGCTGCAGGGAGTATAGTCGTATCTGGACATGCGACAATTGTCGATCAATTGAAACAATCAATGTCAAGCACGTTGACACTTCTGCAGGTTCTGCTGCATACAAGCGATGGCTCTGTGCCTCAATGTAAGTTTTCAGTTCACCTCCTGTCTTGCCTTTGATTGCCGAAATAGTTATCGCAAATGTGCTTGGGAGGATCCCTCCCTTCCCGGCCACCAGTGTCCTACCAACTTCACCAGGACTAACTATCAAGCAATTCCGGACTGTGTTGTTAAAACATGCCAAGATGTCTGCTACGATGTGAGTTGATGCAAGTCGTGAACTTATTGCGCGATAACGTGCTGAGGATCCAGGTTGTGAGAAAATGCCCTGTAAACCTGGGCTTTCAATGTCCTCCCGTCAACGACATTCGAGAATACGATGTTTCTAATTGTGAGATTGTCATTCAGTTTAACCAGAAGCAGTTTGATAGCGCTGCAGGTAACAACCTTGAAAGACCTTCGACTTCACTTTCAAGCAGAAAAAAACGCGGCTCGATATGGGTATCATAAATTTTGCCCACTTTCAATGTCGAACTGAGGACGATTTGTTGCGCAGGTGGCCACGTTGCTTCTTGTGATGTCACAGATGCTCTCCACGTCCTTTACATCATGAGGCATCCTCAATCCGATTGGTTTCTCAGGCTCAGGAAAGTGACAGAAATCCTTGCTTTCCAAGGCAACAAACTCTGAACTGTAAATTTACATGCTTTTCAATACTATCACACTTATGGTGCCGCTTCTTTTGCCTTCATTTTATTCTAATAGTAAAGCTTGATCAATTCATCGGAGACAGCTGAGGGTGTCAGAACTCCAATGTCAGTTAGCAGTAATGTTATGTGCGATGGCCTGTTAGATGGTCAGGTACGATGTAAGCTGCGGATTTCCTCACGGTGTAAAATCAGACGGTGGCTGACGAATCTGAAACCGTGCTCAATGACAACGCACTCGACATCGACTCAGTACCTTGATTCCTTGCTCCACTCTTGGAGTTGGTTCCTGTAACAGTATCATCAGCGCCTTCATGCCTGTCAGAGGAACGTCCACCTTCTCCGCATCAGGCAAATCCGTTGGGCTCAACGGATAGAGACGACAAAACTTATAGCTTTCTGATGCGACCTGGGGATGGAGCGTCAAATAGAGCTGTAAAACGAGCAACCGCGATCCATCTTACACAGAATGGTTTCTTCGCTTCCTTTGCTATCGCAGCAACCTATAACATAGCAATCAAACATGAGCAGAGAGCGGACAAAAAGTTCCGCGCGGACAAGAAGCAGGCACAACCTGAAAAGTTCCAATCTTGTTGATAATGCCACCCGATTCGCATACTCCAGCAGCGCCCGTTAATACCATATCCACCTCCTGCAACAACGTCATGATGAATTCAAGTTGTGACTTGCGAGCTCACTTGGATCACGTAACCAACTGCCGTGTCCAGGATCATATCGACGGGGATCCCTGCTTCTTGCAGCGTGCTGGCAGTCTTGAAGCCTACGCATTCAACCATAGATGAGCGTCGTAGCAGGTGGAGTGAGTGCCATCGACACATCTACCATCGCATTCTGGTTGCCCCTGAGTTACAATCACCTACTCACGTGTCACTTACAGCAGGCAAAGTAAGAGGGTGACCTTGAATCTCACACCGGATTTCGCAGCATGTTGCAAGCAACCGCAAACAACATTGGAGTAGCCATGCACCAAGATTGCCATTCCTGACGCAATAAATCACGATATCCAATGCCTCAAGAACAGTATAATCTACCATCTCGAATGAACGGCCTGGCATTCTCCGCAATAACAGCACGAGACACATCTGCTTGTTCAGCAAATCGCATACCTCGTTCTGACACGAATGTCCGCGTTCAGTCAAACAGTCCACATAAATCATCACAGCCCGACCTATGAGCCTCTGCTTGCAGGCTTCGAAGTCTCCAATATCGAGTGCTGTGCGTGTAACGTGCCGAGCGAAGAGCTCGCATGCAGCTGTCAACTGAATCACTTTGGACCTGATGCCTTGGAGTCAACGGCGAGGTGCGTGCTCAACGCTTGAACCACCTTTGTCCCTCAAACTTCATTTCCTGCAGTTGCTCTTGCGCAGCCTGCGAGATAGCACACCAAATGAACGATACAATGAGGCAAGTCCGAAAGAACACCTTTAGCAGGATTTCTAACTCCATAATCGTTGAAGCTCCACTGTTCTTGATCATGGTTGTTAGGGCGTGAATGGCTGCTACTGCAATGGCCCCTTTCTCGTTCTTTTCCATCCATCTGCCAAAAAACATCGATTTTCACTCTTTTTGCCACAGCAAACACAATCATGTCGGTTTCTTCATCAAGAACTGTGAAAACCATCCATATCTGAGACATTCAATGCCGGTGTACACCAACATCACCATCAACAAGCACCCACTCCTCCACGTGCAAAGAAACCATCTGTAAATCGGTGCAGTCCAATCACAAAGGCACAACTTCGGTAGAGTGATATGGAGAGGTAGGATGCAAAAGACAATCAAGAACGAGCAAGACACAGACATCCCAGACGAGTTCCTCCTCCTCCTCCTCGTTCTCCTCCTCCTCCTCCTCCTCCACTCACTCCTTGAAGTTCCTGACCACCTCAGCCTCCTCCGCCATATTCGCTGACGCACGCTGTCCGTTACAAATAGCTTTTGTGTAACAGAAATTCATAATCCGCCTGCGACTACCCCTGTTTGGATGTGAGTCGAGGGGTGGGTGCAGTGAGTGCGGGAATCAGAATGCAGGTAACAAAGCGTCTCATGTGGGAAGGGAGCGAGAAGGGAAGAGAGGAGGAGAGGAGGAGAGGAGGAGAGGAGGAGAGGAGGAGAGGGAACGAGGGGTTTCTCGGGACATCGCTGGGAAGAACAACCGCGCTCGATAACTTGTTATCCTTCAATCGATTGATTGTGAACTCGGACTGAAATCCTCGGGAAACTCACCCGAAGGCTCGTGCGGAGGGTCGAAACCTGATCCACGGAGATCGATGTTGAGGAAGGACTCATTCATGGTTTTCAACTTCAGGACAACAGCGGCACGGGCAAGAAGAGGAAACGGCAGCAGACGTCTGACGGGAACACGGCATCTTCTAGCCCTAAAAGGTCGAATTGAGGATTGGGGATCGATCGATTTTGAGACTCTTTCAGCCCTAGGAAGGAAAGAAAGCTAGACGAGAAGGGAAGAAATCTGCCACGAAGAGTTTCGAAAAATCCTACATTCCTTGAAGTAATTAGACATTGGGATCTCTCCTCTATTCGCGCCAAGGTGATTCCTCCATTGCCCAGGAACACCGAGAGAGATATCTGCATGCAGCAGACGAGGGTTCATCAAGAGGTAAACTGCATGTCTTAGCTTACCTCTCATCACTTCTCAACGTACAGGAAGGAAGAAGAAGTTTATCTATGGAAATTATGATTCCTACTATTCTTATCGAAACCCTGGTGCCTCAGAAGACCCTCGGTTGAAAGTAAGCACAAGTCTTGTGCAACATAGCCTTTTTACCTGTGCATCACAAGACTCTGGATAAACGATGGTTCCAAGGCAAGAGAGTCCTAGATATTGGTTGCAACAGGTCTATCTCGAATCATTTCCCACCTTCGACTGACAATAAGAATCTGTTTGTTTCAGTGGTGCAATCACAATCGTGAGTGTTTTTCTTGCTTTATTTTCTTTTTGGTTGGTTCCCTGTGTTGAGGTTTTCTTTCTTTGCCATGCCAGGAAATCGCTGCAACATTTTCTCCTCGGCACATCATGGGGGTCGACATAGATCCTTCGTTGGTTCAAAAGGTAGCTTGCTACTGTTGTTGACTCGTTGTTGACGGAATGAATGCCAGGCAAGGGTGAACTTGAAGTGGTCTGCGGTCAAAAGATCGGTGATGACCAGCATCCAGTAAGTGTGAAATGTCAACTGACAACAGCCCAATGGCTTTCAGGAAGAGTCGTCAAAGATTGAAAATGATGATGATCAGCACAGGCCTGAAACAGAGAGTGCAAATGTAAAGCAGGAAAACACCGCTGCTGATCAAAGCAAGCAGCCGAACCAGATATTTCGACCCTTGTCTGTGCAATCACACAAAGTAAACGCCCATCAGTGGTTTCTATAGTCAGTTCATGACATGCTGAATGATTTGGCAGGGATCCGATGTGCGTGCGAATCGTGGGCCAGTCACGAACAACCTCCCGGATTCAGACACTCATCCGTTTGAGTTTCCGTACAATTGTAGGTAATTGAAACGGTATTCAGAGTGGTTCTTCCGTGTTCTCTGACAGTTTCATCAGCTTTCGAAAGGAAGACTACACCGAAGATGATGATTATGACTGCATCTATGATACAATAATCTGTCTGAGGTATTTATCGTACATCACTGATTGTGCGTCAAGTATTGCTAAGTGGTCTACTTGGATAGTGTGACAAAGTGGATACATTTTAATCATGGGGATGGAGGCATTAAGTATACTCTCTTGATGCTTCTCGATTAGATCGTCATGACGACGTGTTAGGCGCCTCTTTGACAAAGTCTACAAGTCTCTAGCGCCTGGAGGATGTTTTGTCTTGGAAATCCAGGTGAGAATGCAGTCTAAGTTAAGATTTGGTTGACAAGATTGCCTTCAGGAATGGTCATCGTACAAGAAGAAAAAGAGCCTTACAGAATCGTGATGCCGTTGCTTGTCTTGATACAACCTCTCAGTTTGAATCAGATTCAAGAAGAATGTGGCAGCAATCACACTCCGTCCTGAACACTTTCAGGAGTATCTTGTCAAGGTTCGTGTGTACTGGAAAAAACTTTGCTCACATCACGTCTAAAACTTCATGCAGAACGTCGGATTTGCGAGTGTAAAGACGCTGCGAGTGCCGGCAGGAGCTAGCGAGGTGAGTGATTTCTACTGCTACTGTTGTGTTGCTCGGTGACCAGTCTCTCAGGGCTTCCATCGGCCGCTCTTGGCGTTCTTTAAATGACACTTGCTGTCTCTGGGGGATACTTTTGCTTTGTCGGAGTCAAATAAAGGAATTCATCACACAGCTTCGGTATCGTCCTAGTGTTCATCCCTGGTGTATTGGTTTCCTTTACAAGAGCTGAAGTGCCTTGCTGCACCTCTAATGAGCTTGAGCCGTTCCCATGTCGATCCTGACGATGCTCGGCGAACCATGGTGAAGTTGAGCTACGCAGACGTAGCCTGATGTTGATTTCTCATTACGAGTATGCTGCTAGTTATCAACTTTGACAGGTTACCCCTACTTGCGACTACCCCCCGCCACCTAAATTTTACCTCCAAGTACCCACCCTTTTTCCCAAGCAAACGGTAGTTCATTACTACCCCTCACCCTCCCACAATTCTCCCGCCCAGGTGTCTCCCTTCCCCATGCACATGGTCCTTCTGTGCCGCCGGGCTCTCTGCCATGCCTGAGCCAGCGCTCGCGGCTTGGAAGGAAGCGGCAGAGAAGCAGGAGGATACGGGAAGCTGCCTGCTGCAGTCCTCGTATCCCCGTGGGGGTAGAGACAGGCAAACAAGGATATTGGCATAGAGAGCCGGAGAGACAAGCAGGCAGGCAGCGACAGGGGTGGAAGAGAAAGAAAGTCAGGATGCGAAACGACATGGAAAAAGAGATGATGATGGCGATGTATTACTGTCAACACTTGTAGGGACAAGTTTGAGTTGTTTTGTTACCGTCCGTTCAGTTATCAAGCTCAATCATGAGCGCGAGCTCTTCCTTCCGTTCTGCAGACATCTCAAGTGCTGAGACTTTGCAGGCTAGCTATGATTCTAATGGAAATCAGATTCTCGGGGATCAAGGAAACATCACGACCTCGATGCTCGTCCTGAGCATGTCAGTAGACTCAGACCTCAGGGTCAGAAGGCTTTCAGTCACCAACTCTTCGTCTCGTTCTTCGACACATCTACAACATCTACACGTTGAAGATAACATAGTGGCCGTAGATGGCATTCTTGTCAGAGGCCTGCAAGCTGGAGAGCTGGAGCAACGGCTGAGCAAATCGTCTGTGATCCTACGAGTTGTACGAGGGCAGATATCAGTGTATGTCTCTTGTAACCTGAAGAGAATCCCTTTGTCATCTGAAGCGCAGCAGACGAGTCATGCACAGGGATCTCAGGTTGCAGGGATAGGGATCACTCTGCAGAGAAATGCCGCCAACAACGAAGTGCAGATCTCGCACGTCCATCCAGGTGGACCAGCAAGCAAGATCGCAGACATCGAGGTCGGAGATCGCGTCTTGGCTGTGGGGGCGCACAAGGTGGACGACCTTGAGATCGAGGAGATACGTCAACTCATCATCGGCCCTGAGGGGACTGAGATCGACCTCAAGGTGAGCCTTTGAATCGTGTGACAGCTCCACTTAACTTCTGCCGCCTGTCAGCTCGAGCGACAACCGCCGCCGCCCAGACAGGTCAAGTACAAGTTTCGTGTCAAGATTAGGCGGGGGCTCGTTTTCAGTCAGGATTCAACTGCGCAACAAACTTCACCACGTCTCCCGTCGACAATTGATTTGACTGATCAAGAAGAGTCCAACGGAGAGTCTCGCAGGAATATAATTTTGCAATACATCGTGATGTTTCACGATGGCAGCCTTTCACAGCAACGAATTTCTATGCAAAAACAAAATCCGTATACTCCAAATCGCAAATCTCCAACCAAGAGGATCAGAAACAAGGCAGAAAAGGGGAAGAATACTTCTGATTTCTTGCCATCGGAACCGGTTCGTTTCTACACGACAAACAGCAGAGAATCATCAAGAGAGCCATCCATGGATCAAGGGTCGAGAAACGAGCATGAAACATCCTCGAAAGGTCTTGCTTCTGAATGGGACACGATTTTTGCCGACATGGAGCCAGAATCTCTGAACTTGTCATCTTCTATGCAATCAACGTCTTCCCTTCAACATTCTGAAGAAATTTTCTGGCCTCATGGCAGATCTGTTTTATTTGCTGATAGGAGACTCGATCCCGGCATCTACGACTCAGAAGATGATTGTGATCAGGAAGACATGCCAGCAATAGAAGAATCCTTGGACCTTCAATGGGTTCAAGTCGATCAAGATTCGAGCAGGGCAGAAGAGGCCTGTAACTTGCCTTTGACTTCCACTCATACTGTCCAAGAAGATGTGTCACTTTTCTTCCCGTCATTTGCAACAGGTGATCCACTTTCCACTCAAGATTTTGGGATCGAAAGAAGCAACTTAGATGACAACGACGCGATCAGCTTCGTCCCAAGAGAACCCGAACTCTACCATGGGCAAACTGACGAAACTCTCGAGAAAGTCACGGAACTTCTTGAGAGGATGCAAGCAAAGTTTCAAGATATCGACAATCTGACTCGAAGGGTGAAGGGGACATCTTCCTCCTTGCCGATGTAGATTCGTCACCTGTCTAGCTTCTCTTCAACTAGACTTAGCAGTGCCATTCAATGTCAAAGATTATTTTATATTGGAAAGGAGAAAGAGATCGAAAGTAGGGAAAGAGGTTCGGATTTTCTCTGATTCATGTATGATTCTGAGTAAAGGGAAGTATTCTACATCGTTGCGGGGGCACAAGACGAATTTAAACAGAAGAATCGGACCACGACGAATCGCCCTCGTTGCCTTCATTTTGCTTCACGTTGCTTATCAAAGGTAATTGAATTTCAAAAAAAGGACGGTTGTAACTATTTGCCAAGCATTACATCACATCATCATAGTTTTTTCACATCACTCACTCGCTTGCTTGTTGCTCGTCTTGGTCATGCTCATGATGAGAGAAAGATCCATGGATTGCTCTTGCTACGGTTCCAAAAACAAGAAAGAGAATGGAGCAATCTGACCAAACAGACATTAGCTTTGAATATCAACTGAGCGACTGTATCACCAAAAGCAGTCTTCGCACGTGAGAGAATCAAATTTCGCAGAGGCGCACGACCGACATAAATGCGATAGTCTATCACAGCTTCGGTGAAGGCCTCTAGATCATGCTGTCTCAAACTCAGCAGCACGTCGGCTTGCTCTGCCACTACTTACCCCCATCACAGTGTCGTAACCTACATCTGGAAGAGTAGAACTCGTGGGGATGACTTGGTTACCCGTACAAAATGGCTCTAAATTCAATCCTGCCGTAAAACATAAGATTTTCGTCAGACTGCACTGTCAAGCATCGACCTTCTGGAATATGAGCGCCTAGCAAAGGATCGCAGATGGAATCGAGAAGATGAGAAATCCAACCAGGCATAGCAAATCGCGGCGTCGGAATCAAGAATTGTCCTCGAATGTCGTACTGCGACATTCTCAGGCAAGCCTCAACATGATGTCTACTTTCATACTTGCGTGACCAACGGCGATGTTGCAGCAAAGAGCGGGGTGAGGGCTCCGCTTGCTTTGGAACGGTAGAAAGGGATTGCAAAAAAATTGATCAGCTTCCCTGCAGCCCCGAAGAAAGGAGGAAAGTATTCGCCTGCAACGCGTGAGTCTCTGAGACTCTCGAATGTCAGACATGGACTACCTTCATGCCGAAACAAGTCAGATCTGATCACTCCTGGATGAACGCAATTAACGTAAACATTCTCATACATGAGATCGCGGCATAACTGTGCCGAATGAGTTTAGTAGAGTCCACGATTTCAATCTCCTCACTTTTCTTGTGTACAGCATGAGAGCCAACTTGCTATGACCGTACCATCCCCATCTATCCCTCAGGCTGGTTCCAAGTGAGTCACACATCACCAAAGTACATGGGTGAACCTTTGATAGTTGGATGGATCATTGATTGTCGTCATGTTCAAGATGACCCCCTGCTTGGGCGCCCATCTGTGTGCTACAGAACCAACATTGACAACTCTTGATGGAAAATCTGCTGAAGCGGAGCCACGTATTTTCGGAAGCAACAGTGAAGTAAGAAGGTATGGGCCAACGAAGTTCACTTGAAATGTCTGTTCGATCCCGTCCACCGTCAGTGCATGAGGGGCCAGCATGATGCCAGCATTGTTGATGAGAAGATTGAGCGGCCTCAGTTTCATGGAATATCTTCTCACAAAATTGCAAACTGAGTCTAGGCTTGACAAGTCCAGCTCCATGAATTCAATCCTAGCGTGACTCCCAACGTCTGAGATGATATCATTCACAGCAGAAATCCCTCTCTGCCTGTTTCTGCAGGCAAGTATCACATGCCAACCTTTTGCTGCAAGGATCCGCGACATCTCATACCCTATCCCTGTGTTCGCTCCTGTTATTATGGCGTAGCGTGGGGGTTCATTCCAGACATCTGCAATGTCCTCCTCTTTGAATTCCATCTCGGGGAAACCAGTCCTGCTGGTCCCATAAACTCTTTTCGAGGAGTTTGACATTGCTGATACAAAAGTGGGTATCATCAGTGAAAGACCAAGAAACGCGTACAAGATTTCTCTTCTCGTGAACGGATAAAGAAGAAGCTTCACGCGGCCCGGTTCACCATCGTCCTGCCTCCAACGCCAGTCCCTCCAGTCCGATCCACCACTTCCATTTCTTCCATCCCCGCTGTGAGAGCGTAGACTCACACCATAAGCGGTCACTCTATACCTTCTCATGTGCTTTGCAGCCATCGGTAGCAGAACATGTTTGTGGCGCAACAGCTGCGTTCCTTGGTTCCCTCGACTTGGCATCACAAAAGAGTGAAACCCAAGGCATATCTCAAGAAGAGAGGAGAGGATGAAAACTCTGACTAGCATCGCGTTGCTCCGCATCTTCACAAGAAACGTCTGCATGCCTCGCTCTTCAGCCCCATCCCATCGCTCATTATATTATTGCCTCACCGGCCGCAACTGATCGCGACTGATCGCACTCATCCCCCTCGGCCCCTCAGGCCCGGCCCGGCCCGGCCCGGGCTGTTTGATTTTCAAAACTCGTGGACAGTACTACTGGTTAACTTAACTTTGAGTAAAGGGTTGACCCTCAGAAACATCCAGTGGGTGGGGTGGGGTAATGATGGAATATGCCATGTGGCGGGGGTAGGGTAGATAGTTCAAGCATGTGATCAATTATTTAAGTGATTATTTAAAATTAGAAACCATATCATCTGTTGGAATCTACCTTTTTAAAAATCGCCTCTCTAAGACGGTATGTGCGAGTGGTACTTTACTCAAATGGGGTCACCTAGCAATAGAGGGTAGGGTTACCCAAGAAAAATAGGGGTGAAAGCTATGATTTGGCAGGGTACTCTGCGTTTATCTAATCAACAGGGGTGGATCTGGACAGCAAGAAACCCGGCACTGATGGGGGTAGGGGTGGGTGGGGAAAGGGCGGGAAAGGAGAGGAGCCGAACAGCATGAGCTCGCTGAAGCTACTGAACCAAGAGGCTGAGCATGCGAAACGCTTCATTGCGCTCGCCATGAACATCAATGCAGCCAAAGGTCTCCAGGAAGTGCTCAAGACCAACCTTGGGCCCAAGGGAACGCTCAAGATGTTGGTGGGCGGCGCTGGTGATGTAAAGCTCACCAAGGACGGCACGACGCTGTTGCACGAGATGCAAATACAAAACCCCACAGCTGCTCTCATTGCCAGGACTGCCACTGCACAGGATGATGTCTGTGGTGACGGAACAACTTCCACCGTCATCTTCATCGGCGAACTTCTGAAGCAGGCGGAGAGGCACCTCAGTGAAGGAGTGCACCCTAGGGTGCTCTGCGATGGCTTTGATATTGCCAAGAAAGAGGCGCTTCAGTTTCTCGAACAAAGAAAAGTCAAGGTTGGAAGTATCGACAGAGAAGCCTTGAATTGTGTCAGTCGCACTGCCCTTAGAACGAAGCTGCATGAAGAGTTGGCTGATCATATTGGAGATGTTTGTGTAGACGCTGTGCTTTGTATCAATGACAAGGAATCTGAAGTGCCCATTGACTTGTACATGGTTGAGATCATGCATATGCAACATAAGAATGATCTGTCGTCAAGATTAGTGAAGGGGCTTGTTCTCGATCATGGTGCAAGACACCCTGACATGCCTAAGTTCGTGAAAAATGCTTACATCTTGGTGTTGAACGTGGACTTGGAATTCACGAGGTCAGAGGTATCTTCCAACTTCTTCTATTCCAATGCAGACCAACGTGAAAAGTTGGTTGAGTCTGAGCGAAAAGTGGTAGACGAGAAAGTTAAGAAGATCATCGAGTTCAAGAGGAAAGTGTGTGATGGGAACGACAACTCCTTTGTGCTCATCAACCAGAAAGGAATCGACCCACTCTCTTTGGACATGCTTGCCAAACAGGGTATTCTGGGGCTCCGTCGATGCAAACGTCGCAACATGGAACGTCTGGCGAAAGCTTGCGGAGGAGAAGCCGTGAACTCGGTAAGTTGCTCCCTCAGTGACCGAAGTCTCTGATATGAATTCAGGTGGATGATCTTGATGCTTCTTGTCTGGGTTATGCCGGTAGGGTGTATGAAGAAACGCTGGGAGAGGAGAAATATACTTTCGTGGAGGAGTGCAAGAATCCGCATTCGTGCACTGTGTTGATTAAGGGACCAAACAAGCATACCATTGAACAGATTAAGGATGCTGTGAGTCGGTTTCAATTTATTTTATTCAACAGATAATGTCATTCCAGGTACGCGACGGCTTGCGAGCAGTCAAAAACACGATCGAGGATGATTGCCTCATACCCGGTGCTGGATCATTCGAAGTAGCACTCAGTCAACATTTGAAAGAACATAGCAAATCAGTTCAGGGACGTGCAAAACTCGGCGTACAGGTGCTCAGACTATACAAACTTCTCAGTGTAAAGAATTCGCAGGCATTTGCAGAAGCTCTTTTGGTGATTCCTAAGACTCTGGCATTCAATGCTGGACAGGATGCGATGGATGCTCTGATCAATGTACAAGACGCTCAAATGAGCGGATTGGTGAGAATTTCCTTCAAGGACGGAATGTTCCTGATGCAGAGTATTCCAGGTTGCTGGGATTGATATTTCGAGCGGAGAAGCATGCTCACCCGAAGACATTGGAGTTTTTGACAACTATCGCGTCAAGAAGCAAATGATGCAGTCAGCAGGTAGGCCTTTGTCCTCGCAGAACTGAATGCTTCTCACTTCTCTGTTAGGCATCATCGCTTCCCAGCTTATCCTGGTGGATGAGATCATGCGTGCAGGCGTTGCTGCCGGCAAGAGAGGGTGATGCCTGTAACATGGATGCCCCTAGTCAGCAGGTTGATTATCAAGATTGATCATAAACTATGTTCCTGCACACCTGGGTTTTTACGTGAAAAAATTATTTCTGCAACATGTGCTGAAATGCTTATGATCGTACTTTATGCATGCCCACTCTGAACCTGTCAGCTTATGAACAATGCGTGTTTTTGACGTGAAGAAACTTGGTAGATCTCTCGTAGATCTCTCGCAGATCTCTCGCTGCAAACACTCACAAGTTTATCACATTCTCTCTTCCCTGTTACAGGATCTTTCAAAATGGTACAACCCCAACGACAGTACTGCACATTCTTGTTTGGAATCTGAGTATGAAATAGATTTGACTGAGGCTGCTCGGTCAAGTGGGTGATATGTTTTCATGATTTACGAGTTTAGAAAAATGCCATGTGTTTGCGTTTCGAGTCTGAGCTTGGCGAAGGCTTCTCGCTCCTGCTTTTGAGCTCTTGTCGCAGTCGCTCGATCTCATTCTGAGAATCGATTTGGATAGACACAGCAGTCTTGATACGCTTCTTCAATGCGTCCATCATCCTTAATCTCCTCATGTGGCACTTCTTGGCATCACTGTTGATTTGATTCAGTTCCTCTTGAATCTGTAAGATTTCAGGCAAAATTCTTATGAGAAGTCGTTGCAATTCAACTTTCATAGCGCACATGCATTCATTCGCTCGTTTTAGACAATCTTTTTGCAAAGCACTTCGCAAAGAAAGAGTATTTGACCGGAACAAGCAAAAAAAGCGAATAATATCTTTGATTGCTCGATCTCTAACAATTTTTGAATTGAAAACTTGCAGTTGTCTGGTTTTTTGGACCCAATCCCCCCAAGTATTCAATATTCTCGAAATGAAACGATTAGCAAATAAATGGGATAACTTGTCTGATCTTTTCAGATGTCTCCTAATTTGACAATGTCTTTTCCAGATCGCAAGTATCTGAGTTAGATGACAATTCCTCAACCTTCGCACCAAAATCGACGAACAACATTGTTCCACGGACAGACCATACCAGTTCTTGCTGCTTCTGAACAACGTCCAAGCCCGAAACGTTCTCCTGAGACAGAAGTGCATCGAGTAGTGGGACGATTTGTGACTCAATCTTGCGTACTCCCTGAACCTCTTGCAGAAAACAAAGTACTGAAAGAGCAGCAAAGAAGTCTGACGAAACCTGAAAATATCCACAATAAGATAGGCACGCTTAAGATCCTTGAGTCGTTGAGCCCAACGAAAGAAGCATGACCGCAAAAGAAAACCGAAAAAGCGAACACGAAAACGACGAACTTTTGAAGCGTTGCCCCGCTGTCCGGCGACGCTCGCCTGCCACCGCCGCAGCCCCCTCGCCGCCTCGACCGTCCTCCATGTCCTCGCGACCTGTCCTAGGACCGCCAGGGCCTCCTTCCTCCGGCCCGCCTGCTCCCGCCACCTCTCCAGCGCCCTCCCGGCCTCCTGGCCTCTCCACCGCCTGCAGATCTTCTCTGCCCTAGACCTCAGCCGCTTGCTCTCTCCTGTCCACTCCCTCCATCGCCTCACCGCCCCCGCTGCCTTTCCGCTCCGCATCGTCCCGATCACTCGTGCCGCTACCTCGCGCAGCCGCCCCCTTGTCGCCTTCCTGGCTTGCCAGCGCTCTAGCCAGCCCGCCAGCTCCAGGCTCCGCCACCGCTGTACTACCTTCCCCGCCTTGGCCCGCAAGCCCCGCCCCTCCGCTACCCGCTCCTGCCACCGCCCTAGCGCCGCCCCGACCTCCAGGCTCCGCATCCGCTGCACTACCCGCCGACATATCTCCGCCCCCCGCCGCCTCTCCGCTGCCCGCCCTGACCACTGCTCCCACGCCCGCCCTACCTCCCTGTACCTCAGCCGCGCCGCCGCTCGGCTCACCACCCTCCGCGCCTGCCGCCTCCTTGCCGCCTCCTCCTGCCACCGCCCTAGCGCCCGAGCTTGCGACCCCTGCATCCAGCGCTGCACTGCCCTCCGCCCCTTCGCCTCCCTCTCCCGCTGTCCGGCGACGCTCGCATGCCACCGCCGCAGCCCCCTCGCCAGCCTCGACCGTCCTCCATGTCCTCGCGACCTGTCCTAGGACCGCCAGGGCCTCCTTCCTCCGGCCCGCCTGCTCCCGCCACCTCTCCAGCGCCCTCCCGGCCTCCTGGCCTCTCCACCGCCTGCAGATCTTCTCTGCCCTAGACCTCAGCCGCTTGCTCTCTCCTGTCCACTCCCTCCATCGCCTCACCGCCCCCGCTGCCTTTCCGCTCCGCATCGTCCCGATCACTCGTGCCGCTACCTCGCGCAGCCGCCCCCTTGTCGCCTTCCTGGCTTGCCAGCGCTCTAGCCAGCCCGCCAGCTCCAGGCTCCGCCACCGCTGTACTACCTTCCCCGCCTTGGCCCGCAAGCCCCGCCCCTCCGCTACCCGCTCCTGCCACCGCCCTAGCGCCGCCCCGACCTCCAGGCTCCGCATCCGCTGCACTACCCGCCGACATATCTCCGCCCCCCGCCGCCTCTCCGCTGCCCGCCCTGACCACTGCTCCCACGCCCGCCCTACCTCCCTGTACCTCAGCCGCGCCGCCGCTCGGCTCACCACCCTCCGCGCCTCCCGCCTCCTTGCCGCCTCCTCCTGCCACCGCCCTAGCGCCCGAGCTTGCGACCCCTGCATCCAGCGCTGCACTGCCCTCCGCCCCTTCGCCTCCCTCTCCCGCTGTCCGGCGACGCTCGCCTGCCACCGCCGCAGCCCCCTCGCCGCCTCGACCGTCCTCCATGTCCTCGCGACCTGTCCTAGGACCGCCAGGGCCTCCTTCCTCCGGCCCGCCTGCTCCCGCCACCTCTCCAGCGCCCTCCCGGCCTCCTGGCCTCTCCACCGCCTGCAGATCTTCTCTGCCCTAGACCTCAGCCGCTTGCTCTCTCCTGTCCACTCCCTCCATCGCCTCACCGCCCCCGCTGCCTTTCCGCTCCGCATCGTCCCGATCACTCGTGCCGCTACCTCGCGCAGCCGCCCCCTTGTCGCCTTCCTGGCTTGCCAGCGCTCTAGCCAGCCCGCCAGCTCCAGGCTCCGCCACCGCTGTACTACCTTCCCCGCCTTGGCCCGCAAGCCCCGCCCCTCCGCTACCCGCTCCTGCCACCGCCCTAGCGCCGCCCCGACCTCCAGGCTCCGCATCCGCTGCACTACCCGCCGACATATCTCCGCCCCCCGCCGCCTCTCCGCTGCCCGCCCTGACCACTGCTCCCACGCCCGCCCTACCTCCCTGTACCTCAGCCGCGCCGCCGCTCGGCTCACCACCCTCCGCGCCTCCCGCCTCCTTGCCGCCTCCTCCTGCCACCGCCCTAGCGCCCGAGCTTGCGACCCCTGCATCCAGCGCTGCACTGCCCTCCGCCCCTTCGCCTCCCTCTCCCGCTGTCCGGCGACGCTCGCCTGCCACCGCCGCAGCCCCCTCGCCGCCTCGACCGTCCTCCATGTCCTCGCGACCTGTCCTAGGACCGCCAGGGCCTCCTTCCTCCGGCCCGCCTGCTCCCGCCACCTCTCCAGCGCCCTCCCGGCCTCCTGGCCTCTCCACCGCCTGCAGATCTTCTCTGCCCTAGACCTCAGCCGCTTGCTCTCTCCTGTCCACTCCCTCCATCGTCTCACCGCCCCCGCTGCCTTTCCGCTCCGCATCGTCCCGATCAC